AAAAATGGGTCTTCTTTTACCTCCCCTCACTTTACGAGATTTTACTGAATGCTCTCATCTATGCCCCTGGTTTTAACTATTACCGAGGATTCCCAAATCTGTCCCGAGCTCAGATACCTTTTGGAAATCTAAGTGCCCAACTGGCCACTGCCATCATTGTCGTCATTTTTCCTCTTCCCGCCTTGCCCTCCTCTTTTTTTCCAGCAGGTGGGGCAAAGCATTTTCCTTCCCAAAGGGTGTTTGAAAATCTTTTTTTTAAAATAGATTTATTGAACTGTAACTGATACAGAGAAAAAAACTGCATACATATTATATACAACACCTGTGATGCTATAACATACAGGCATCATTTCCAGGAAGCATAGCTTTATTTCCAAAAGTTTCCTTCTGTCCTTTTGCTTTTTTTTTTCTTTTTGTAAGAACACTTAACATGAAATCTACCCTCTTATATTCTTAAATGCACAATACTGTATTAACTGTAGGTGCTTTGTCGTATAGAAAACATTTCCAGAACTTAATCATATTGTATAACTATAACTTTATGCCCATTGAATAACAACTCTCCATTTTCTACTCTCATCTTCTGGCAGCCACTGTTCTGCTTCTATAAGCTTGACTATTTTAGATAACTCCTATAAATGGAATCATGCAAATCATGTATTTGCCCTTCTGTGACTGACATTTCACTCAGCATAATGTCTTCCAGGTCCATCCAAGTTACTGCAAATGGTAGGATATTCTTTTTTAACCCGGAATAATGTTCTATTGTATGTATAAGCCACTTTTTCTTTATCCATTCATCTATTGATGATGTGGGTTCTTTCCACATCTTGGTATTGTGAATAATACTGCAGTGAAAATGAGTGTGCAAGTACCTCTTACAGTTACGGATTTCCTTTTTTTTGTTGTTTGTTTGTTTTTTTGGATATATACCCAGGATCAGGATTACTGGATTATATGATAGTTCTATATTTATTTTTTTGAGGAACCTCCATACTGCTTCCCATAGTGGCTGTATCATTTTACATTCCCACCAACAGTGTACAAGAATTCTTTATTCTTCACATCTTTGTCAACATTTGTTTGCTTTTGTTTTTTTGATAATGGCCATTCTAATAGGAGTGAAGTGATACCTTGTTCTGATTTGCATTTCTCAATGGTGAACATGGAAAGTTGCCTTCTAAGATCAAGAACAAGACAAGGATGCCCACTCTTGCCACTTTATTGACCATGGTACTGGAAGTTAGACAATTAGAGCAATTAGACAATAAAGGCAAGAAATAAAAGGAATCCAAAATGGAAAGGAAGTATAATTTCCTGTTCATAGATCACATGATCTATATGTAGAAAACACTCTTAAAGACTCTACAAAAATTTTTTTAGACTACTCTATTAAAGTTGCAGGATACACCATCAGCATGCCAAAATCAGTTACATATTTAAATACACCAATGAACTATCTGAAAAGGAGATTACTAAAAGGATTCCATCATAATAGTATCAAAAAGAAAAAAGTTACTTACCAAGTATTGACAATACTTTGCCAAGGCCTGTATACTGAAAACTGCAATACCTTGATGAAAGAAATAAGACACAAATAGATGGAAAGATATCCAATGTTCATGGATTGGAAGACTTAATATTGTTAAAATATTAGACAGTATTTGGAACTTTTTATTTTGTTCTCTCTGATCTTTTTTTACTGATGTGCCCTGCCACTGTTTTCACATATTAAATTTTACATATAACACTCATGAAGGGTATGTTTCTAGGCTAATATTTCCCATTTATTTTTTTTTCTTTTTTTGTGTCAGTACTACATGTCTAAATTACTTTAGCTTTATAATGGGTTTTAATATTTGAGAACAAACCCATTTACAGTTTTTTTCTTCAAGTATCTTGTTATTTTTGCCCTTTTACACTTAATATAAAGTTTTAGAAAAATTTGCCATGTTTCTTTTAAAAATCAAAACCTGGGCTTAATTGAGATTTATTCACTGGGAAGGTCTGCTATCTTTGTAGTATTTGAAACAGTACACGATATGTCTTGATTTATTTAAATTTTAATTTTTATTAAATTGAGATTTATATTTATTTATATAATTTTAATTTTTATTAAATTGAGATTTATTCACTGGGAAGGTCTGCTATCTTTGTAGTATTTGAAACAGTCCACGATATGTCTTGATTTATTTAAATTTTAATTTTTATCTGTAAAGCTTTATGATTTTTTCTGTAAAAGTACATCTTTTGTTTAACTTGTAGATACTTTATTATCTTCTATGTAAATTATATTTTTAAATTTATTTGCTATCCATAGGAGTACATTGATTGGTTTCCTATTAAACCTTTTTATTTTGAAATAATTGTAGACATAAAGTTGTAAAATTAGTACATAGAATTCTGTGAACTCTTCACTCATTTTTTGCCAGTAGTGTCATATTATGTAACTTTTAGTACAATAACAAAGTTGACATTGGTATAATATTGTTAATTAGATTACTGATTTTACTCTGTTTTCTCAAGTTTCTGCACAATATTCTGTCTTTATGTAGTCTGTCTTCTGTATAGTTTGATCCTGAGTATAGATTCATATCATTACTATCATAGTCAAGACACAGAATTATAAAGGAATTCTGTAATGCTACTGGTTAGTCTCATCTCTGTACCCTGGTAACTACTCATCTGTTCTCCATATCTGTAGTTTTGTATTTTGAGAATGTTAAATTAATGAAACCATATACACATAATCTTTTGAGACTGGCTCTTTCAATAAGTGTAATGACAATAAGTTATTGCATGTATCAATCAGTCCTTTTTACTGCTGAGTAGTAGTGCATTGTGTGGATCTATCAGAGTTTGTTTAACCATTCATTCATTGAAGGGCTTTGGATTGCTTCCAGTTTTGGCCTATATGAATAAAGCTCTTACAAATATTCTTGTACAGATTTGCATGAACACAAACTAATTTCTTGGGAAAAATTCCCAGGGGTGCAATGGCTGGTTTGTATGGTAAGTACATATTCAGTATTATGACAAACTGCCAGATGATTTTCAAATATGATTGTACTATTTTACATTTCTACCACCAGTGTCTAGATTGTTTCTTCACATCCTTGCCTACAGTTGAAATTATTTCTGTTGTCTGTTTTAGCCAGTCTAATAGTATATAATGATATCTAATTGTGGCTTTATCTTTCCCTAAAGATTAATGGTGTTGAATATTTTTTCGTATGCTTATTTGCCATTTGAATTTCCTTCATATGTCTTTTTGCCCATTTTGTAATTGGATTTAGTGTGTGCATAGTATTTTTTCCCATCCTTTTGCTTTCAGTGTCTCATATCCATACTTTTTAAAAAAAATTTTAAGCTCTTTATATTGAAATTTTAAGATCTTTTTTTTTAACCCCATCATGTATATCATATATGTATAGCGTAAAGTATGTAGTATGTGCTAAGTGGTGTTGTAAGTGCTATATATGTTTACCTATAGTTTCCAATTTTTGCTTGGCTAATTTGTATTTTCATCCTGTTCTTGAAAATTATATTCATTGGATGTAAACTTTAGCTTTGCAGTTATGTTTTTCCCCTCATTGGGGATGACATTTTCCTGTCTTTTGGCTTATATTGTGCTGTTGAGAAGCCACTTATTAGTTTAAATACTGTTCCTTCCAAGGTAATACAATTACTTTAAGGTTTTGTTTGTTTTCTACAGTTCTTCTTATTTTGAGTTTAATTCTGTTTGGCTTCTTGAATTTATGGATTGATATTTTATGCTGTTCTACTCAGAAGCCTTTGCTTTCATTTTTCTTTTGATACTCCCATGAGTCATAAGGTAAACTTTTCTTCTCTGTATTCTTCTAATTTCTCTTGCACTTAACTAATTCTAATAGCTTTTTCTATTTTGCTAATAAGCTTGTCCATTGAGTTTTTAATTTCAGTTTTTGTATTTTTCATTTTTAGAAGTTCTGCTCTTTGTTCCGGTTTATTTATTCCTTGGGTTAGACTTTTATTTCTTAAAAGCATTAAATATAGTAGTTTTGTAATATGTTTGAGAATTGTAATATCTAAAGTCTTTGTGTGTCCTGTCTTGGTGCCTGGTATTTCTGCTGATTCTTGCTCATGGTATCATGTTTCCTTAGGTGTTTGATTATTTTTGACTTGGTAAAATTCATTGTCCTAGAAACCTCATGATTAGTATTCTTTGAGGGTAGAATTTTGCTTACTTTAGGTTCTTGGTGGTACTGCCAGCCAAGGGTCACTGCATTCAGGTGTTGAGGTTCTCTGGACAACTTAGGTAATGTGAATCACAGCAAATGTGCAGGACCATGGCAAAAACTAATTAGCTGTATCTATTATTATGTTGCTCTGCTTAGTTCCAAAGCAGCTTTCTCTGCTTTCCCCTGTGGCTGTTGATGGGATCATGGGCACACGTTGATTTCTGACTAATCTCTCGGTGTTACCTTTTTGGAGATGGGGTGATATTGCACATTGATGTCAGGAGGGTCTCTTATTTGATGTTCCATCTTGGTTGACAGGTTGAGATTCTGTCCCCTTTGCTTCATAAGACACCAAAACTGAACTCCAGATTTGTCAGGGTTTGCCAATGCCCTCAGGGCATAAATGAATATAATGCTCCAGTGCTCCATTTATGTCACTGGATTCCTCTATTCTCTTTTATTTGGGACAAGTAATTTGTGGTGCTTTAAAAAATGTTTATTTTGGATTTTTTTTTCTGTTATTTATACTTGTTGTAGTTGGAGAGTTAGTGCAGATAACCCAGTTTGCTACTAGTAAAAATGGAAGTGAAAATACAATAAATATAATTGAAAAAAATTGAGGAAATGCTTAATCAAATGTTTTTCATTAATAAGTGAACTACTATATATTAGGAATTAGTTATAAATTATTTGGTGATGGGACAGGTTACTTTTTATGTTTAGTATTAATTTTGTTTTTGCCTGTTTTTTGGTTTGCATCTAATAGTTTTCTTGTTTTAGGGGTAAAAATATTTCCATCATGGCTCATTCAAAGACAAGAACCAATGATGGAAAAATTACTTATCCTCCTGGTGTCAAGGAAATCTCAGATAAAATATCTAAAGAGGAGATGGTGAGACGGTTAAAGGTGAGTAAAATTTGTGTTATGTTTTATAGGACATCTGTTTAGAGTGGAGGGGCTACCTGGGGAAATCATGTAGGGCTGTATTTTGTTAGGACACCTTAAAAAAGCAAATGGAAGCTAAAAATGGCAGGGAAAGGATCAAGGAGAGTGGAAGTAGGTAAAGAAATGTAGGGTTTCCTTAGCTACTGTTAAGGGAAGAGCAACTGGAAGGGTGAAGGTTAGATTTTTCTAGGGCCTCCTAAACTTGGATATAAAGAATAAATCTGTAGTACTCTTATTAAATTCATTGTTGTCTGTATAAAGTTGTCCTTTGCCCTATATGTCATCATTTTACAAAAAATAATTTCTTTAATTAAGAAAGGAAGTTTTAAGTCTCTGTACTGAGCATTAGGCTGTATTTAACTTACCTGTAAGTTATTTTGGCTGTAGGTTAAAGAGTTTTACTTTCGGCTTCTCTCTGCTTCTGACATGCAGCAGTGAATCAAGATTGAAGGTGAATTTCCATAGATGAGGTGGTCACTGTATAGCTAGTCTCCTTATATGTGTTTGAACAATATTTTACCTTTTTTCAGAGCAGTGATGGTGCATGTGATTGTAAAATGGTTAAAAGAACAGAATGGCCAAGAAGAATGCTAAGCTGATTTATCAGCTAGTTGTTATTTTTGAGCATTTTTTTCCCTTCTGGATTGTATCTACCTAGACATTTATGTTGCTTGATATGTTATTATTTGTCTATATTTCAAGACTGGAAAATTTGCCTTATTTAATCATTGAAGACCCAGGAGCTTTGAAGCAAAGTACTGTTTTATAGCTCTTACTACATGGTTTATTTTTATTAGAAGAAGAGGACCTGAATACTCATCAATTTCACGTAAAGCATTAGTCTTACAACTTTGTGTTATAAAGTATTAGAATGTCAGATATCAGATTTTATTTTTTTTATTATTCAAAGGAAAAGATGTCTTTGAGCAGATTAAAATTAACAGTATGTGCTAGTTAGGAACTTACATATATTTTGTTAAAAATAGTGAAGCTACAAATCCTTTATATGTGACACTTTCCTTTTTCTCTGTATCTACATTCTTTTCACCTATTGATTTTTTAAGAGAAGTGAATACATTTCTTCGGATTAGTTTATATTTCAGCAGTGATAGGTAAATATCTCTGACGTTTGCTAAGAAACTAATGTTAGAAACTGTACCTATAAGTTGATTAACATTTACTGTCTTTTAGAGGTATTTTCTCAGTTATCTTCCTTAATAGATGACATATGCATGTGAAATTAATTGGGGTTTTTTGGGGGTTTTTGTTTTTTAAGAAATTAATAACACCATTTGAATTGCAGACAGTTTTGAGAGATTTTCATTTTCTAGCCCTTGAGTAAACTTTGTTGTTAGTTTTGGTGGAATGGTTTCCAGTGTTCACATTTAGTGTTTGTAGTATGTTTTCATTATTTTTGGACATTTATGCTCAGCAGTGATCTAGTTAATATACTTTTTCTTCATTTATTTTCCTAATTTATACTTACCCACTATTTTTAGCAACCTTCTTAGAGAAATATAAAAAGATTTTAATGTAAGCTAACAGTAATTTTTGATATGTACAAGTATAGGTCTGAATTTTATAAATTAAAACAATTTGCTAATATGTAAAGTGTTATTGTTTATATAATTTGTAGAGTTTCCTATAACATTCTATTCAAAATGTACTGAACCTTTTGTGATTTCTTTTTCTTTGCCTTTTTTCATGATAGGCATATGCCATCAAAGGATATATTTTAAAGTAATAAAAAAGTTAGTAGACTTGAACTTTGTATCCTTATACTAATTATAGTGCCAGACTGGAAGGATTAGTCTACTGTTGGTTCTGGCATCTGGCATAGTAGAACTGAGGATCTGCCCTGTGAGGAACACTGATTCCCAGGAAGACACTGGAGAATTTATTACTCAGAAATCTAGCTCTATAGCAGAGTAGAAATCTTTGTATTTTTCAAGGACCAAGTCATAAATATTGATGATGGCCAGCCCTACTTGTTGATTAGTATTTGCAGCACCATCTAGTGGATGCCAAATGGTCACCTTTCCATTGGTGTTTCATTTAAATGTGTGTTCCAGTCAAGTTAGGCAGTTTAAAGTTCATTTGGGGCAAGAATAATATGGGCTGAGGGTTCATAATAATACTGAAATTAGAAAAAGCTCTTTATAGAATTCAGATGGTATTGTTCCTCGGCATTTTTATTTCTGTCCTACTACTTTTATGTCAATGTTTTTGAAAAAAACCATTTCCTATAGGTTCTTTCTGTTTACTCCATACATACTATTGAGTCCTAATAAATTATCCATGTCATGTTCTCTTTTACCATAGCACAAGAAATATTTTGTTGGATGCTATTGTAGTTATTTGGGGGTAGCTTTTTAACCTTCAGGAATATATTTTCATCATCCTTTCTTAAACCTTTATTCTTTTTTATTTAACTGAATATACAAATCATGTATCTGGAGTGGTTTATGGCTTAGATGGAAAAATAAACTTTTTCTTTCCTAGTTTTTTTCTTTAGAAGTATAATAAAAGGAGTAGGTATATTATAAAAAAGGGGGTGCTCTTTTTAAGAAGGAGTAAAAGTGAGACCAGAAACGCCATTCAAGGCTAGTTCTAAACTTTTATCATGTTAGCAGGTATGATGGGTACATGATAAGTATTTCAGTCTTTAAAGAAAAATTATTATTATTTTAAAGATTTTATTTACTTATTTATTTATTTATTTATTTATTTATTTATTTATTTATTTATTTATTTATTTATTTATTTATTTATTTATTTTTGAGAGACAGAGGGGCGCAGAGACACCGGCAGAGAGAGAAGCAGGCTCTGTGTAGGTGTAGGGAGCCCGATGTGGGACTCAATCCCAGATCTCCATGATCACATCCCGGGCTGCAGGTGACTCTAAACCGCTGTGCCACCGGGGCTGCCCAGAAAAATTATTTTTAATGTAGTTTCAGAAAGATCTCGTTCTCTCAGAGACTTTCAGAGGAAAAAGGAAACTAGTGTATATTATGTATATGGAAGTTAATCTTTGCAATTAATAGTTATTTCAGATGACTGTTTATTTGGATGAAGTATTTCATTATTTCATTATTTTGTTTTTGTATAGATGGTTGTGAAAACTTTCATGGATATGGACCAGGACTCTGAAGAAGAAAAGGAGCTTTATTTAAACCTAGCTTTACATCTTGCTTCAGATTTTTTTCTCAAGCATCCTGACAAAGATGTTCGCTTACTGGTAGCCTGCTGCCTTGCTGATATTTTCAGGATTTACGCTCCTGAAGCTCCTTATACATCCCCTGATAAACTAAAGGCAAGTACTGATTTAAAGAACTTCCAAGATTGACTGATACTCTCATTTATCTTTCTAACTAAAATGGGAGTTAAAGTATTTAGATAATTTTTTTGGATTGTTAAACACAACTTCTTCTTTCTTCTTCCTTTTTTAAAGAACTCCCTCACCCCCCCATTTAGTACGTACTTTTGTAAAACAATTTTGAATCTTTAGGATAAGAAGGAGATTAGTACAGTGTATTCTATACTTTCTTTGTTATTTTTAGTTTTCTTTCAGTAACACTTGGGGATACACTTCGTTTTCCCTTTTGAACGCCCATACTAAAGACCATGTTCATTATTTAAAACATAGTAGGTAGTATAAGTCTGAATTTATACTATATGAATTCTAATTAGTTTAATGGAAGGTGTGATGTGAATTATTTGAAAGAAAATACAGTGAACAAAATTTTAATAAAAAGGTAGAAAAGACACCTACTGGGTTGAAGTAGTTCTTTTTTTTTTTTTTAATTTTTATTTATTTATGATAGTCACATAGAATGAGAGAGAGAGAGGCAGAGACACAGGCAGAGGGAGAAGCAGGCTCCATGCACCGGGAGCCCGACGTGGGATTCGATCCCGGGTCTCCAGGATCGCGCCCTGGGCCAAAGGCAGGCGCCAAACCGCTGCGCCACCCAGGGATCCCGGGTTGAAGTAGTTCTAAGTAAAGTTATATAAATGGAAAATCTTTAAAAAAAAATGAAAAAAAGAGAATAGCTTGATTAATCCAACTGTTAAGAACATGTAAAATAACTAGAGCTGTGTAAAAAGATACTGAATAAAAGCAGGTTAGAAGCCTAGAAAAACCAATAGTAATAAAAGATAATTGTGGAAATTGAGTTAGAGAAGGAGATATTAATCTCCTTAATATTAATACCAGTGTGGAGAAAATTATGGGTAATTTAGTTTTATTTTATTTAACAAGTATTGATGTTAATTATGTGTCAGGAACTGGATTTACAGTGGTGAAAAAGGGTCATATCAGGATATGATCCCTAATAATTGGGAGTGAGAAACCTCATTTGAGCAAGTCTGCCAAAATTCTAGTGTGGAATACCCAAACTGGTTTGGGCATGATTATTTTATATTTTGATTGGTAAAGAATCTCAGGATAGAGACAATATTTGTTATTTAAAGGTGGGCTTGAACTGTTAAATTTGAGAATGGTCAGAGGTTTAAGTAGGTAACATGAGGTGGTATATGCAACTGTGTACCAGGGTGTATATTGTGCTTTTTAATTATAAACCTCTAATTTGGAGATGGGCTGTGGGCTCTTCCTTACCAGTGTCTTCTTATTGACATTCTTATGAAGAGGAAGGTCTAACTGAAGAGTGCCACTACAGGTTTCTTCTACCTCTTGTGGATTTCTCAGTTTTCATAATCAGTGACCTATCTCAGGGCTTTGGAGTAGTGAAAAGCCCTCCCAAAAGAATAGTTACACATCTGTTCTATTTATAATAGGACAATTTATAAGAAGAATATTGAGGAACTGAGATTAAATTGGAGTCTTTTTGGATTATTCCATAGCTGAAAAATTTAAAGTATCTTACTTTGGTCAAAATTTTTTGGTCTTTAAATGCCTCTTTTCTTTTATTGGGGTAGTACTTAAAAATTATTCATTTCCAGGGTATTCTCTAAATATTTGTGGAGTAGTTTTCATTATTGATTAGTATAAAGTTTGTGTTTTTCTTTGTCTGCAGTAGCAGTCATAGAAAACTGACACTTTTGATCCTCATTTTCCAGTGTCAAATTATTGTTTTCATCAGAAAACCCTTTGTATATTCCTGTCTTCATATGTAGATCAGTGATCATTGGAGATGTTATAAATGGGTGACTGTTATTTGTCTCTGAGTAGTTATTATGGCACATGGTGTGTTTGGGTTTGTTTGTTTTTTTTTGTCACATTTGGAGGATTTATTCACAGAAGATGTATTTTGTACAGTACTACTATCAAAGTAACCATTTTTGAAGGATGTACTTTTCATTGTATTTTCTTTTTTTTTTTAAAGCTCAGCAATTAACTGTATGTTTTCTCTTTTAAAAATATTCTTGTTGGGGCATCTGGGTGGATTGGTTGGTTAAGCTCGTATGCCTTTGGTTCATGTGATGATCTCAGCGTCTTGGGATGGAGCTCTGCATTGGACTTCCTGCTCAGCAAGGAGTCCACTTCTTCCTCTGCACCCCACCCCTTCACTCGTGTGCTCTCTCTCTCTCTCTCTATAAATACAACCCTTATTATTTTATTGATTGATTAGCATGATTCCTTTGCACAATTAGCTTTTATAATTTTACCCTTTTCCAAAATTTTTAAAACATCATCTCCATAAAAATCCCCCTAAATGGACATTGAATCTTTCTCTGTACAGGTACAAAAGGAAGACATAGTAAAAAATCAAAAGCCAAGAGATGGAGATAGATTGAGAAATGGTGGGGAAAAAATAAGTAATTATAATGATTAGGTAGGAAGCTTGACAAGTTAATGTCTACAAGTCTTTTTAAAATTTCTTATTCTCTGTGATCCATTGTCTTTTCACCTGGTGATTTATTTTGTAATTTTAAGCTTCCTAAACTGTGTCTTTGATGGATAATTACCTTTATAGTGCTGTTCCAGCAAACCCTAATTAGCATTCATCACATTATTAGTATAACCTTTGTTAATACTGTGTAATACTAATGACATTATTAATGTAACTTTTATACTAATAATAAGATAAATTTTGATTTACTAGTTTTGGGGTCTAGTTTTTTAACCTGCTTTAAGGTAAAGTTTTTCATTTGCTAAAATCATGGTAAGTTTTTTACTGTTTTTCTGTGAAGGGTGATAAGGTATTTAGTGTTTTCGAATAAGGTTTTATATGATTAGGTGCTTTTATTTTTTATTTATTTACTTATTTTTCAAAAAAATTTATTTATTTATTTATTTATTTATTTATTTATTTATTTATTTAGTTATTTGAGAGAGAGAGAGAGAGAGGGAGGCAGAGACACAGGCAGAGGGAGAAGCAGGCTCCATGCATGGAGCCCCACATGAGACTCGATCCCAGGTCTCTAGGATCAGGCCTTGGACCGAAGGTGGCGCTAAACCACTGAACCCCCCGGGCTGCCCCTGATTAGGTGCCTTTAAAAAGTTCCAGCCAAATACAGTTTTTCCTCCCGGTTCTTTACAATTTATCATGGTAGACACATGAGTGCTGAATTAGCTTTTGGAGGTTAGTGAATATTTTCATTTAGCATTCATAATCTAAATAATACTTTGTTTCTCTTTTTTGAAGGATATATTTATGTTTATAACAAGGCAGTTGAAGGGGCTAGAAGATACAAAGAGCCCACAATTCAATAGGTATTTTTACTTACTTGAGGTAAGCAGTATATCATGAAATGACTGACATTTTAAATTGGTTTTTATGTATGTATATTTTCACTAATTAAAGTGTTTACTTTTTTCTTTTTTTGCTTATTTTTAGAACATTGCTTGGGTCAAGTCATATAACATTTGCTTTGAGTTGGAAGATAGCAATGAAATTTTTACGCAATTATACAGAACATTATTTTCAGTTATAAAGTAAGTTTATTTTACAAGGCATGTCATTTTTTTTAAATATAAAGAATTTAGAATTTATAGGTGAATATGCATAAACTGTTATGAATATTTGGAAGGCTAAGAGTTGTAACTTAACTCATTAACATTATTTTAAGAGACTTTTAAAAATGAGTATCAGTTTTGTAAGTTATACAAAAGTGTGGCCTAAGGCAATCTATAGCCAATATAAAAATATTTTTGTATTTTATATTTTTATCTTTTTATTAAATATTACTCCTTAGTTCATGTAAATAGTTTTTGTATATTTAATTTTATCTATTAGAATACAAAGCAATTTGATTTTTGAATTTAAGGTAAAACTAAAGATGATACTTGATTTAGAAACTAAAATTAGGGAATAGTAATCCAGGAAATGTAGTTTAAAAATATATTTTGGATACTATAAGATTTGGGAGAGAAGGAAGCTTTAAATAAATACATGAATTCGATTTAATTAATATTCTAGTATCATGTTTTAGGAAGTGTAGTGTTTATCAGTACCATGTTATGATTAAATCCTGTACACTGTAAATAAAATACCTGTTTTAAATTTTAGCAATGGCCACAATCAGAAAGTTCATATGCACATGGTAGACCTCATGAGTTCTATTATTTGTGAAGGTGATACAGTATCTCAGGAGCTTTTGGATACAGTTTTGGTAAATCTGGTACCTGCCCATAAGGTAAGTAGCAGTATATACTGAAATATGTCTAAAGTCGTTTAATATTAAGGTTAAGAGTTTGTGCTTATGTTCTAAATATACTTTTTCCTGCTTTAACCTTAGTTTTTGAGAATCTGTTTTATTAATATTAGTTATGTTGAATGTTAAGTTAAATATGGTGCACTTACAATTACTAATTAAATAGGTGTAGTTGATATGATAAAATATCTGTAATAACTCAGTTTTGTATAGGATATGTTTTGGGAGTGATAGCTACTTAGATGCTGTCGTATAACTTTATGTCAGGAGATGCTAAAACCAATTAGAGCCTTAAGTGAAAGACAGCAATAGTGTAGATGGAGAGGTGGGATGAAATTAAAAGAGAAGTCTCTCCTAATTTGTAGTCAAAGAATATGTTGATGATAGTATTTCTTCCCTGGGTGATATTACTCAAGATGTGTGTTTGTGTGTCTCTTTCTTTCTAACTCTCCAGGAAACAGTTGGAAACGAGTGTTTCTGTCAAAGAGAGAAAAGAGAGAGGTTAGAGAGAGGGGCCACACAGCAGTATAAAGATCTGTGCAAATTGAACACCTTTCTGGCAGGATACGATCTAAGTTTACAGATACATGACATTCACAGAAATAATGCTTCAATGAAGATGACCTCATAGTATTTCCAAACTCTTAAAGGAAATAGTTCATTAGTGCTGAAAGCCAGATACTGCAAGTAGCTTTAAAAATTCAGTTAATATGGATCCCTGGGTGGCGCAGCGGTTTGGCGCCTGCCTTTGGCCCAGGGCGTGATCCTGGAGTCCCGGGATCGAATCCCACGTCGGGCTCCCGGTGCATGGAGCCTGCTTCTCCCTCTGCCTGTGTCTCTGCTTCTCTCTCTATCTGTGTGACTATCATAAATAAATAAAAATAAAAAAAATTAAGTTAATATGTTTATTAGGTAAAAATAATGCTCTTAAAGGAATGAAAGATCACCTATGCTTAAAGAGATCAAACCCATAAAAACAAGAGTTAAAAACATGATAGCTAGATACATGAAAGGAGAAGTTTAGGGAAAAAGTAGAAATGAGAAATGGCCATTGAAATTAAGATCTCTATTGATTGTAAAAGATATTTAGAGATCTGAGAGACATAGCAGAGGAAAGTATACAGATAAAGTGAGATAAAGAACATAAAATATACTGAGACATGAAAAATAGAATGAAAAGGACCAGTATATTTAGTAGTGATTTCAGAACAGAAAATGGAGAAGAAATGTTTAAATAGAAATTTGCTTAAAATGTCCCAGAACTGATGAAAAGCCTGAATTTATGAGTTAGGTAGCAAAAGTGTCATGAAAGGAATAAATAAAAATAAATCCCAGTCCAGGAACATTCTGGAGAATTTATAGATTGCCAAACCAGAAATATCTAAAAGCACCCAGCAGGAAAAGGTGTAGACCCCTTTCACCAAGGAATAGTGATTAAACTGACTGTTCACTTCTCAGTAGCAAGGATAGATGCCAGAAGATAATGGAACTGTATTTCTGAAGTGCTATGATAAAATTATTGTGCATTTGTGTGTATATGTGTGTGTAGTTACATATTCAATTTGAGTGAAATTGACTTTAAATATTCACTTGTCAGTAGATTCCTACTGGAATGGAAATTGAATGAAAGAAGAAGAAATAATGGTTAAGAAATGCTTTAAATAACTGATGTATAAGAAAATAGTAACAATAATAATTATAACAATTATTTAAAGAGATGTTAACAAAATGATCATGAACTACTGGTTAAAAATAACATATAGGATTAAATGGCTTAATGGAGGGATGCCTGGGTGGCTTAGTGGTTGAGCGTCTGCCTTTGGCTGGGGTTGTGATCCCGGGGTCTTGGGATTGAGTCCTGCATTAGGCTCTCCATGGGGAGCCTGCTTCTCACACTGCCTTTGTCTCTGACTCTCTGTGTCTCTCATGAATAAATAAATAAGATCTAAAAAAAAAAAAAGTGGCTTAATGGAGTTAATGAGTGATCTAATCTTGGTGGTGAGCAGGATTATAGAGCTACTGATTAACTTCTAACTTGAAATATTTGTATTACATTTTTCAGAATTACAATAAAGGAAGAATTACAATAAATGTAAATGGTTTAAGTTTACTACTTAAAACAGATTGTCAGATTTGATTGAAAATAATCCAGCTGTTCAATAAGAGATAAGAACAAAATACTGTCACAAAAGATTCAGAGCTTTTAAAAGGACGGAAAAAAGATTGCCAGGAATGTTCTAACAGAAAGAAAACAGAAGCAGCTTGTACTGATATTAGATGTAATATTCTTTACTGGGTAAAGAAGGTATTTGTAGAAGGATAAAGGGTTTAATCTCAGGAAGATATTCAAACTTGCATGTACATAGGCTCAAATATATAATGTATATATATTGAAAGAATATTAAGGAGAAAGAAACTCACAATTTGGGCCATTTTAACACTTTTTCCAGTGATTGTAAATTAAGTAGATGAGCATTTTGTAAGAATATTGAAGATTTTAAAAACAGACTTACAGCAATCACAATTAATCTATCAAAAGAATAAATCATATTTACAATTATAAGATATTTAGAAGTGATAATTGATACATATTAAAACGTGGGATATGACATAAAATATTTTTTAAATCTAATTTTATTGTGTCTAATTCAAGAAGTTATAAAAATACCTGAATATACAGAATATGTAAGGAAGAAAAGAATGAAGTACAGAATTCAATGAAACAAAATATAATGACATTTCATAAAAACTCAAACCTTGCAATTTGAAAAATATTAAGCAAATCCTTGGCAAGTTGAATCAGAAAAAGGAGATGGTATCATTATACACTTTAAGAATGAAATGGGAATGGCAGACATTAAAAAGATAAAAAGATAATTCCATGAAGAATATTTTATGGTAACATTCTTGGAATTAGGTAAAAGAAATTTCTAGAAAATATAACTTCAAATTTGTCTCCAGAGAAAATCTTGAGTAACCTTTAACCAGCAAAAGAATTCTAATTGGTTTTAAATACTCTATCCATACAATGGATAAAATCTCTTCCTCCCAAACAACAATAGCAGCCATGATAAGAGCAACTACAGTAGAACACAAACCTACTACAGAAGAACTTAACCTGAATATCAGGAGATATCTACTAATCGTTTAAATAGCATCACAATCCTAATAACAAGCAAACTTTTTCAGATTATAGAAAAGGAAAAAATGTCCCACAATTCACTGTATGAGTGGAATATAATCTTCATAGGGAAACTAGACAAAACCAAGCAAGTAAGAAAAACAGACTAACTTAAAGTTATAATTACATAAATTGAACATAATAATGTTTGGAATAGTGTAAGCTAATGTTAGGAATAAGCAAATTGGCTTTATTTTAGGAATATAAGGGTGGGTTAACATGAGAAAATGTTAACAAACTAAGATATTTATGTAAATTAACAGATCAAAGAAAAAATATATAGAAAAAGATTGATAAATTTCAGTGTAATTTATGATAAAACTTCTTAGCAGATTTGAAATAGAAAGAAACTTCCTTAAAGTGATTAGGTTATGTGAGATACTAAATGGTGAAATGTTGAAGTGTTTTCTTTGAAGTTTAGGAATGCTTTTACTCAGGAAAAAGGCAACACTGTCATTTTTTTTTTAAACACTGTCATTTCTAATCAGCATTAATTAAAGGTCTTAAGTTAGTGGAATAAAGTGAGATAAATAAAAGATATAAGGACTAGAAAGAAGAAATAAACAACTTATTTGCATATAACTGCAGAAAACACAAAGCCACATACAGTTAAATTTCTAGAACAAATAAAAGTCTGCAAGATTGCTAGATGTAAGTTCAATATATGAAAAGCTGTTGGTATACTTTAATTTGTAGCTTTAACAAAGACTTGAGCTGTTTAGAATTTCACAAAAATATGCAGCTTTATGGTGAAAATCATTATAATTGACTAAAAAGTATAACGACTTAAATATACTGCATGATTTATTATATTTATGGGATGGAAGACTCAGTATCATGATGTCAGATTTCTGCATACTAATAGATAATCCAGTGAAAATAGAAGATTTGAATGTTTGTGGTTGATTTGCCAAACTGATTTTAAAATTCATATTGAAAGAGCGCCTGGTGCCTCAGTGTTTTGAGGGTCTGCCTTAGGCTCAGGGTGTGATCCCTGGGTCCTGGGATTGAGTCCCCTGTCAGTCTCCCAATGGGGAGCCAGTTTTTCCCTCTGTGTCTCTGCCTCTCTCTCTGTATCTCTCATGAGTAAATAAATAAACCTAAAAAGAAAAAAATTACACTGAAGAGCAAATGCCCAATAATAGCTAACCATTTTTGAAGAGGAATAGAAAGTGGGGACTTATTCTACCACCTGGTGTTAAGACACTGCTTCTATAAATCTTTGTAATGAGGCAGTTAATAGACAAAGGGATATATGGAAGTAATGGAGAATTTACAAATGGATGCAGAGTTATATAGAAACTTGAGAGTATGGATATTATAGGTCACTCGAGGGAATAATGTACTATTTAATGACTGGTTTTAAGACGGTTAATAACCATATGGAAGGGCAGCCCGGGTGGGCATTGGTTTAGCACTGCCTTCAGCCCAGAGTGTGGTCCTGGAGACCCGGGTCGGCCTCCCTGCATGGAGCCTGCTTATCCCTCTGCCTGTCTCTCTCTCTCTCTTTCTCTCATGGATACATAAATAAAATCTTAAAAAAAAAATAACCATATGGAAAATAATATAATTATTTTACACAATACATAAAAATAAATTACAGATGGAATAAAGATCTAAATCTGAAAAACAAATATTTAAATTTTTATTTGAAATTATAAAGCGACATCGAAATCTCATTGTGGAGGAGAATTTTTCTTTTTTTTTTTTTAAACGTTTACTTATTTATTCAAGAGAGACACACAGAGAGAGGCAGAGACATAGGCAGAGGGAGAAGCAGGCTCCATACAGGGGGCCTGATATGGGACTTGATCCCGGGACTCCAGGATCACACCCTGAGCCAAAGGCAGACACTCAACTGCTGAGCCACCCAGGTGTCTTGAAGAGAATTTCTTTAAAAAAAAAAAAAAAAAAAAAAGTAGCACAAGTCAAATAGGAAAATATTGATGTATTTGATTACATTAGTTTTTCGTCTAAAAACTTCTCTCAGGTACAGTAAACATTGTGAGAAAACAAGTACAGACCTAAGAGACGTTATACCTACAAGGAACAAAGGTTTAGTTTGTAGAATTTATAGAGAAACTCTGCAAATAGGAACAAAACAGCCCATGTGAAAAATGGCAGAGGTAGAATATAAGAAAATTATTTTTTATATGCACAGGGAAGCATGTACAAGACATACAATTTTTAATGGTCATAGTTAGGAGAATGAGTAAATAGGCTGTATTATATTATGCAGTAAAATACTAAAGAGCAGATAGAAATGAAATAATTTCATAGAAGCATCAATGTAGGTAAATCTAAGAATATGCTGAATGTGAGTTTCAAGGTATCTAACAGCGTACCTGTTTTCTGTAATGTATTTAAATCGGAATAGCAGTTCTCTTTTAGATCTTTGGCGTTGTTTCTGTCATCAGAATTTTTTTTTAAAGATTTTATTTATTTATTCATGAAAGACAGGCAGAGACATAAGCAGAGGGAGAAACAGGGAGCTGGATGTGGGACTCGATCCGGGATTCCAGGATCATGACCTGAGCCGAAGGCAGATGCTTAACCGCTGTGTCACCCAGGCATCCCATCAGAATTTCTTTCTTGTACCTTTGTATTTTCATATTTTATTGTTTGATGTTTCTTGTTTTATCTTTGACCTTATATGTGCTCTGAGATGTGCTTGAGTAAATCTGCTGTCCCAAACTCTTGTCTTTCCCCACATGTGGGCCCCCATTCCTGTTCACATTAGAACTCCATTCACTCTCTCATGATGTTTTGGTGGTTCTGGACCTGGAGTAATACAGCTTGTATTTGTACTCAGCTGAACTGATTTGACTTGGGGACTAGGTTTCCAATGACTATTTCCTTACTCCTCTTCTAATAAACATTTATTGGTCTTTTTTTTTTAATTTTTATTTATTTATGATAGACACACAGTGAGAGAGAGAGAGGCAGAGACACAGGCAGAGGGAGAAGCAGGCTTCATGCACCGGGAGCCCGACGTGGGACTCGATCCCGGGTCTCCAGGATCGCGCCCTGGGCCAAAGGCAGGCGCCAAACCACTGTGCCACCCAGGGATCCCCTTATTGGTCTTTTCTATGTGATTTACCCTATGCTATGAATGAGATAGAGAATGTAATTATCCTTTCTTGGAAGGGATGTATGATCTAAGTAGACCAGTTAGTCTTAAAAGAAGAAAAATGACTTTGCTTTTTCTTTTATTGTAATTGAGTCTTAGTTTTCTCATTTATTTACTCAGGAGTAGATTTTTGAATACAGGTAATATTTTGTTTTTCATGGTTAGAGATATATACAGATATTGTTTAATGTTTTTCAGAATTTAAACAAGCAAGCATATGATTTGGCAAAGGCTTTACTGAAGAGGACAGCTCAAGCTATTGAACCATATATTACCAATGTAAGTTTTTCTTGTAATTGGTTGTCAGAAGGATTAGCCATAATTTTAAAGATCGCTAGAAGCAAAATTTCAGCAAGTAGTACATACTTTTAAATTTTGTTCTGTTTTCATCATTAAGTAACATATTTTCTTTCTCCTTACTTAAAATTATTCTTGTTTAATATTTTATGGAAGGCTAGCACTCAGTTTGTTCATTCGTTTGCTGCTTTCACTTTGCCTGGGAACTAAAATAGCTTTTATTTTTATTAGCAAGATATCTTTGTTTCCAATGTTACAAATAGAGCTAAATGTAATTAGATAAAATATATGGAACTTTTCATTATTCAGGGAATGTACAGCTTTTTGGAGATTAAGTTGATTTGTACAAGAAATATATAAGAACTAATACCAGGGCTTTGTAAAGTTGAAGGCAAGTATGAATGGCAGCAATTTGGTGACAGTTGTCTATCTTGTTGTCCCTGGGGATAGATTTCATGTACATCAACCTTTTCTGAGAAAGAGGAAGAATTGAGATGAAATGAGCCCTTTCAGTATCATCCCAAATCTGCTTATTTATGATCGACCCATTTTATAGCTGTTTTTCAAAAGAAATTATTTTAGCCGATAGATTCACTGATAAAATGCCTATTTTGGGTTTTATTTTCTCTCAATAGTTCTGTTGAGTTGCACAACTCAAGAGGGCACCACTCCTGTGAATACATGCCATGTGAATAAATATGGAACATGGTGTTAATGTTGGCCTCTGGAATTTTTTTTAGCAGTTCTCTCTACTTACTTTCCACTTTCACCCAACTTCAAATATGTAAAGGATGTAAATCTGTCCCTTGAAAAGAAGTGAGAAACTCATTTATAATCACGTATTTAATTTTCCTGAGGTTTATTGAAGAAACATATTTCCTGTAGTATATAAAAAAATGAAGTCAATATATGAAATACATCATGAAATGATATGCTTTGAAAAAGTAACAAACTTTATAGAACACGATCTTGGTAAATCCCAGGTTTTGTTTCTGACTTATGGCCTTAAATAATTCTAAACACAAGATGACTTGGTGTCAAAGTGTATTTGATTTGTAAGGAAATTGTTTTGGAAGGTGAACTTCCAGAAGCTGGGCAATCAAATTATGTAATCTATCTTAATAGCTCCAAACTGGCAGGGAATTCTAAATAATGATTTCTGTAAGTTCTGTAAGTCTTGGGTATTAGCCAGAGTCAAATTAGTTGGATTGAGTGGGTTGAGGTTTTTTCATTATTGACCTAATAGCATTTGAAGTGAGTAGACCCAGACTTAAGCAGTCTGTGTGTGATTAATGAGCCTTCCCTTTTCTTTTGCTTCAAGTGCATCTGAATGACCATCTTCATGGCCCATTAGACATACTAGGTGAGCTCCTCCTGGTGGTCATTTATTTAAATTGGCATTACCAAGCCACATGTTTTTTTAGGGGAACACTTTTTTGATGCCTTTTTTCTGGCCAAAAAAAAGCAACTATCACTGTTTGCTTAGTATCTTTTTTGAATTGGGGAAATAAATATTTGACCGGATAATAAAAATAAAAAGTCCCAAAATAGAATTATGGTATTTATTGGAGCTAGGTGATGGTTTATTTTACTATTCTATTCTCTCAACATATGGTTATGTTTGAAAATAATTATTAATAAGAGCTAAAAAAAAAAAAGGACAAGAGAAATACTTTTAGCAATCTCAGGTGTTTACATTCCCTATCACTAGTACCTTATATTAATTGCCTGTTCTTAGTTCTTGCTTGCAGAAGTGGAGCTGCTCTCTCCATACTTTCTTGTGGTATCTTTATCAGAAGCTGGGGGATGAGAGGCACAAGATTAGGAGAATGGTCTGAGCACACTTTCAATTGTATGTTTATTCCTAGTACTTTTTCCATTGTTTTATCTCGTTTTCTTGTTCATTTGATGATTAGCTAAGAAATCATTAAGAATTGCTTTTTTCCCTCTTTTGATCCTTTATACATCTTACTTCTCTACCTCAAACTTCTATAACCACATGTAAAATTACTTTCTAGTAAACTTAATTGTCTTGTAGGATAAAAATGAATACAATATTAAAATCTCAGCTTTTTGAGACTTGTACATGTAGTAGCCATTATTCATTTGTCTTTCTAATAGAGAATTAGCAAGCAAAAATACTTTGCAGTAGGATACTGAGGTAATACCACATTTCTGTCTCTTTTGTACTTATGTCTTTTTCACTATTAGGGATATGATATAGACACATTCAAGTTTGTTTTTTATAGATAGTAATTATTACATATTTAGGACTTAAATTATTGTGGTGTTATAGGTTATTCTTTCAAAATAAAATTTGACAGTTGACAAGTTAAAAATGTGTATGTCTTTTTTAAAAAGGTCAAACTATCAGAAACAAAAAATATTTAGTAATATTTTAAGAAATTATCTGCATGGATCACTTATTGATAATTTTTTCATCGGAACTTTTTTTTTTTGAGAAAGAGACAAAGAGTGTGCACACGTGCAAGCAAGCAGGTGGGGAGGGGCAGGGAGAGAATCTTAGGCAGGCTCCACAGTGTGGGGCTCCATCTCACGAGCCTGAGATCATGGCCTGAGCCAAAATTAGAGGAGTCAGACCCTTAACCACCTAGCCACCCGGTGCCCCCTAAGAGAATGTTTTAATCACAAGTTTTAAATTGCTTAATCTTGCTAGCCTCAGCTTTTGCATCTGTAAGTTGGGGTTAATAATGCTTGGAGTGATTGTAGCAAATGTGTTTTTTAATGTGAAAACAATTTTTAAATAAAGTTGACCATTTAAACCTACGGTAGAATTTCTTGCTGACCTTTAAGTTACCCATACTGCTTTCATTAGGAGGCAATTGTTATAAAAGAATTAAATTTGTAGTGTGAAAATCGGTACCCCGTTTGTAAATAAAAGACTAGTGGTTTTTGGAAGATATACTTTAATCAACTCTCTGCCTCTTCTGCTAGGTTATAAACCGTTATGGAGAGCATAGATTGTTTTACTTATAGTATCAGTTGCATATATATTTTGGGCACCTACCCTATGTCAGAAACTATGCTAGACTCTTACTATACAGTGGAGAAGACTGACTTGGTCCTTGCCTTTTTAGAAGTGTTAAATAACTGTTATTTATGGAATTTGTAAGAAGTTAGCCCAGGGAATTTTTTTTTTTTAATTTTTTTAATTTTCAAATGTGGTTTCTCCAGACTGGTAAAGAGGATGGCATCCTCTTTACATCACATGGCAGGGAGGCCAGATTGGAAAGGATTATTGTGGTCTTGTTAAGGAAAGGTTAGATTTACTGTTTTTAAAGAGAAAATTTGTGAATGGAAACAAAGCCATTTTATTTTCAGCCTGAATGAGAATTTAACCTTTGATGTCATGAAATTAAGGTATGTACACAAGTATAACTGTATTACAGGATAAAATATAGTAAGTACCATAATGGGAAAAAAGTGTATTTGGTAGGCAGAGTGTTGATTGATAAGCTAATTGATAATATAGGTACAAATTATCTATTATTATGTATAAGGTCAATTTCATGTACAGGGTGAACTAGCCTGTAGTTTTCCACCTACTGTTAGAAAATGTTTTGATAACCTTAGTTTAACTGTGTATAAAATAATAATTTAATCGAATGATAATTAAGATTTTAGAAAATTTATTTTAGAAAATTTATTTTATCTATGGTGTTTCTATTAATGATAAGTTTATCTATGGTGTTTCTATTAATGATAAGTTTTCTTTCTCAAAAGTTTTTTAATCAGGTTCTGATGCTTGGGAAAACATCTATCAGCGATTTGTCAGAACATGTCTTTGACTTAATTTTGGAGCTCTATAATATTGATAGTCATTTGCTGCTCTCAGTTTTACCCCAACTTGAATTTAAACTAAAGGTAACTATTCTAAAAGCATTATGGTTCTGTCAGCCAGATTAGCAAAGAGCATTATTTGTGACTCTAATTTTTCTGGTAGTTTTAGCTGAATGTTATGGATGTGGTGGTGTATTATTTTTAATTATTTACATGTTTGTACCTTACTTATTTGTCAGCAGTACCAGGTATGGTACTGATAGTAGCTACTTAATTAATGATAGTAGTAGTAACTGATAGTAGCTACTTAATTAATGACAATATTTTCCTTCAGATAATTTCCAGATAATTTCCTTCAGATAATTAAATTGTAGATTGTGACTAACTTCTGAGGTCTAGTGGTACATCAAGCTTCTTTTCAAGGTACAGTTTATAATGGTTCCCAAGACTCCTTGATTAAGTCATAAAAATAGTTTAGGGTCTATTATCCACATATTGTGAAATATTTTCCCTATGTGCATATTATCTTATGCCTGTGTTGAAAGCTCCATTGCTTTTTTACATGGTTCTCTGGAATGTTTTGGTAGTGTGTTCCTATTGCTTTGACATTAAATTATACCATAAGATTAAGTTTCATTTGTAGATTTGGGTGGGGAATATTCTTTGCTCTTTCAGATTATTACAGGAAGATTAAATAAAGCTGGTTATAATTAATAATCTTTGATGAAACTTGATGTACCACCCAGATAAATTCTTAAATGATTTCTGTTGTATTTCTTATTTGTAAAAATTTTGATTTCTCCCTTTCAAAACAAGAAAATAAACCATCCATATTTGTAGTATGGATACCCAACAAAACTAGCAAATGCTTACTCTCCTTTTATTCTGAGGTGAATTTTTGGTGTATTTCTCAAATGAATCACTTGATTCACTGGCCTGCCTGCCCCATGTTTTCCCATGTAGTTAGCAATTTTGATGAGGCAGAAGGCAGTCATACTTTTATTTTTTTTTTTTGTTGGTCTGATACTCTTTAATACAAATATTGAATACCATAAGAAATATAAAAATAAGGAATAATCATCTCTGTTTCCAGCAAATTTAACATCTAGTATAGAAGAGGAAAATAATTCAGATTTAATAAGAGACCAGATATTGTAAGTATCCTAAAAGATAAACAGCGTACAATGAAACAAAGGAAACAGCTATAGAAGCATATAGAGATAGAAAGGTGCTGGGTGAATTTATGGAATACAAATAATTTTAGTTGGGAAGTGACATGAAGTAAGTTTAAATCATACCTGGCTGTACATTAGAATCTTTACCTACGGAGCCGGAGTAAACAAACAGATGTCCAGGCATTAAACCAGAGGAGTTGTTTCGATCAGAATTTTTGGCAGTAGAGTCCAGGTGGTCAGGTTTGGGGTGTTTTTTTTTTTTTTTAATTGTTATTTATTTTTTCTCCAAATTTTTATTTAAATTCTCGTTAGTTAACATAATAGTGTAATACTGATTTCAGGAGTAGAATTTAGTGATTCATCACCTACATATAATACCCAGCACTCATCCTAACAGGTGCCCTCTTTAATACTCACCACCTGTCTAGCCTATCCCTCCATTAACCCTCAGCTTGTTCTTATCATTAAGAGTTTTCTAATGGTTGTTTCTCTCTTCCCAAATGTTCATCTGTTTTATTTCCTAAATTCCATTTATGAGTGAAATCATATAGTATTTGCCTTTATCTGACTGACTTATTTCACTTAGCATTCATTACACACTCTAGCGCCATTCACATTATTACAAATGGCAAAATTTCATTCTTTTTGACGGCTGAGTAATATTCCTCTCTCTGTGTGTGTGTGTGTGTGTGTGCACGCGCACATTTAGAGGTCATTCTGATGTACCTCCAGGTTGAAAAGTATTATTTAGAGGAATAGTGTGAGAAAAGAGAAATTATGATAGAGATGAGTTAGGTCATATATATATATATTTTTTTTTAGTTAAGTCATATTATGGGAGCTCTTAATGCTAGGCTGAGGCATTGGTTTAAAATTTAAAAATTAAAAGTGTACAGTGTCATTTGAGTGTCAGTGTTTTTTTGATACAGTCACATTTTATGGTCAGGTGTAGTATTGTGGCTGGCTCAATCATTTAACGATTGTGTCATTTGTTGGAGGTACCAAAATCAGTAATAAAATTGACTTGTCTCCATGCTACCCAGAATAGAGTAAATTAAACAGAAATTAGTTTTTATGTGTGCAAGGTTTCATCATGTTGAATTCCATTATGAATCTGGTATGTGTAGGTGAGTGGATTCTCCTTTTGGGCAACATCACATATTTATTTCTATATAACCAATACAAAAATACAGAATTTTCTCTTTACTGTAGGCTTGACCTCTTCATGTCTATCTTTAAAAACCACAGTTTTTCAAGGGTCTGCATAGGTTTGATGTAGTTAGTTTTTGAATTTGACTGTGAATGAAAATAAGCTTCAATTGTAAGAGGGGCCTCTAACGTTTAATTGAACTTTGGGATGTATTATCATGTCTGAAGTACTGCTTAATGAGATGATTAGCACACTTAAGGGAGCATTTAATTTTTGCATAGTATATTGAACATTTTTATGCATACTTTTTCATCTGGAGTTCATGAAAATTTTTCTGTGGAATTGGGAGATGAGGAAAATCATGGGGAAATTATTACGAATATATCTACCTGATGGTTTTAAAGCTATTTGGTTTTGTTTTAGAGCAATGATAATGAGGAACGCCTACAAGTTGTTAAACTACTGGCAAAAATGTTTGGAGCAAAGGATTCAGAATTGGCTTCTCAAAACAAACCACTTTGGCAATGTTACTTGGGCAGGTATATGATTTTGGTGTCCTGTTTAAAAGTAATAAATGTTTATATCATTTAAAAATGCCACCTATAATATTTTCCTGAAATTATAAAAATGAAGTGTTTTATATTTTGAAGTTTTTGAGTGTTGGTACTGATTGACCATATTTAGAATTTCCCTTTTTCTAATCTTATTTTGCTCTTAGTAATTTTTGAAAAATGATATGTTTAAAAAGCTATCTCAAAGTATAATCATGAAATTAAAATGTGTTATTACATAGCAGTAATTCGACCCAACTGAAAGTAAATCATTGTGAGATGTTGTAAGGACAGGGGTATCCACAGAATGAATAAAATAAATGATATATATGTTCTTCCTCCTAATCTCTTTTGTATGTTTCTCTTTTAAAGGAAGTGATAACCTGGATTCTTTTTTTTTTTTTTAACCTGGATTCTTTATATGCTTTTAATGTCCACAAACCTGAATTTGTTTGCAAGTGTTGTTTGAGTGTTTGTATATTTCTCTTTTCTATGAGAATAGTTCATTTCATTTCATCTCTAAAGGTATCCCTGACTTTGAATATATTAAAACCACTTAAAGTGCCCTTGCTGAAACCTACCTTGACCCAGAAGATAAGGAATTTTTTTCCTCTGCTTAAATTTTTCTCAAAACAAATAATGCAGTTAGTCATACATAAATAGGATTTTAAAAACTCTTAACTCTTCTTTTTATATTGAAATATTTGTATGTTATAACCTCTTTCCATCTTAATACTAGAAATGTCAATGTTTATTTCAATTCAATCTCTTTTGGTCTTATTTTTCTAATTTGTTAAGTGGTGTATAAGCTTTTATAAATGCTAATTGTTAAATTCTTAATCTGATTTTTTTTTTAATTTATTTTTTTTTTATTTACTTATGATAGTCACAGAGAGAGAGAGAGAGAGGCAGAGACACAGGCAGAGGGAGAAGCAGGCTCCATGCACCGGGAGCCCGATGTGGGATTCGATCCCGGGTCTCCAGGATCGCGCCCCGAGCCAAAGGCAGGCGCCAAACCGCTGTGCCACCCAGGGATCCCCTTAATCTGATTTCTTATCTCTTACGTAGCTCAATAATATTTGACGAGGTGCATTAAACAAATAAGCAGATTTTAGCCCCTTGTGATTTTGAGTTTGACTTCTAGATTTTTTTCATTTAAATACAATGGAAAGTTCTTGGGTAGTAGAACAGAATACTTTATATGTTTTATATACTCTCAATTTAAAGTCCACTTTACTTTGATAAAACAAAAATATAGTAAATGTCTGTAAGTAAAAACTATACCTTTAATCAGGACTGGGATTACCTAGACCCAATTTGTAGGTTAAAATTTATGTCACATTTCCAGTACATAGTAATTTTTCCTTTCCTTTTAAAATTAACCTAAAACTGAAATTCAGATTATTATCAAATTTAAGGAGCTTTAGAATATTTTTAAAGAGGTCTTATTAAATTTATTTATAATGGTTAAATGGCTCATGTTTAGTTGAAAAATGGAAAAGTACATAGGGATGGAATACTTAGATTCAAAGCACTCTGGAAACTTTATATGAGATAATAGCCTAGATGTCACAACTTTTTTTTGAGTATACCTCATAGAGCATTTTTTCCCCTAATTCTGTGAATAATTTGGTGCTCACTTTGAAGACCTCTTTTTCCCCCCCCTCCTTTATAGTACTAATTTTCTTATAGTATTGGGTGATAGAAGATTTCGGAAGCCTTTTGATATTGCAGAATTAGACATATGAAAATATTGAGTGGCAAACTCTCACTTCACTTTGATGTTCTTGTTACTTAATAAGATTTTTTTAAAAAAATCACTGTTTTGTAGTCCTGGATGAACTAATATATATATGGGCTTTCAACATCAATGGTTTAGAGATAACTATACTTATACATCATGTGCTTTAAATGATGGAGGAACAGGTTTCCATCTATGAAATAGTTTTGCTAATAAAACAGTGAATCTGGATATGATTAAGTGTCTAGAACTGACTATCAATTTGTAAGATTTAGGAGAGAAGGGATCCTATTAATTGAAATCAGGATAATACAGATTAGCAAAATCTAAACTGGAAAAACACTACATACACAAACACAGAACAATTGCTTTACTAAATAAATTATAAGGAAAAAAAGATGGAGGAGGAATAGAAGATTAAAAGATACTTAAATGACCTATCTTTCAAAGAGTTTTAAGTATTTTAGAGGTATATACTAAGGTATTTACTTCTTCATGTAAAAATTGGCTTTGGTATTAGTGGAAATGTAATCTGATAGTTAACTGCATAGGACTTAATTTGGCATCAGTTTTAGATTCATGTGCAAGATTAAAGCATACTTTTGTGAATGCCCTACATTTAAGAAAGAATACTTTGAGGAAAGGTTTTCTTTTCAGGTACAGCTTGGGATTTATATAATGTATCTATCATCTATGTACACACATATGCTTATATAAGTAGATATATTTGAAATAATATTTATAGGAAAAATCTTGTCATTCTAATTTTTGTGCTTAAGCCAAATGTGTATTGTTTTTACATGCTCCTTAAAAGTACATAGTTCTTGCAAGAGGTTGTCCTAATTTAATAGACATTCCAAAGCATTCATAAATAAATATCAGAAGTTTGTTGAAATAATCTAGCTTCACTTTGAATTCTACATAAATTGTTTTTTTTTCTTTTAACTAGAGAAATATAAATTCAGTGTAGGTTAAACACATACCTGTTTCTCTAATTTTAAAGATCATTCTGTGCCTTTATATTTTATCAGGTTTAACGACATCCATGTACCAATCCGTCTGGAGTGTGTGAAGTTTGCTAGTCATTGTCTCATGAACCATCCTGATTTAGCAAAGGACTTAACAGGTATTATATACCCATACTAGCAAATAGATGTTCTTTGATGAAAAAAATCAGTTTTATGTATATGGGGAAAAAATCCACTCTTTTGGTTATTGTGGTGGATAAAGTCATCTTTCAATTCATCATTGGAAGTTACTTTGTGAAGCTAGAATTTTTACTCCTATGCCTTTTAGTCTAGAAGCACCTATAAAAAGCTTACCAGAAATAATAATAGTTTTTTAGTTTTAGAACATCTCTAAAGATATTTCAGGCAATTTGGATTTGAACGGGTCTTGACTTTGATGTTCTTTACTATTCTTTAATGTTTTGAGAACTTAGGTAAGAGTCATTAATTTGTAAACTAACTATGTTAAATAGGAAGTAACTTTTCTGAAATCTTTAAGTTATAAGGCATTTCAGAATTTTTTAATATTTGTAGAAATAAAGATATTCTGTATCTGAATATTGCTCCTCTATTAATTTTTTTAATTAGGAAATCATTCGGAAAAAACAGATGACTATAATAGCCACTATGTCTTCTTCAGAAATGTTAGCATTTTGCTATAATTGCTTAAGAGATTAAAAAAAAATAAATTGTAGATGTAGTTGAAATGCCTCTCATAAAGTATTCTTATTTCTGCACAGGGTAGCCACTCCACTAAATTTGGTCTGCATCCAAATTTGTTTTTCTTTCTACATCACGTGTCTTTGTCCATAAATTATATATGATATTGTTATGTGTTTTAAAAATTTTATTGAAATGGTATCATTTGAATTTGATAGAGTGGAACTTATTCCTACTATCTTATGTTTTTTATTTTCCATGCTTCTTGCTCCCTCCCCCCCCCCCATTTGCTCTTTTCTGCGTAATTGATTAATTTTCTTCTCATTTTTCCTTTTTCCCCTGTGGGTTTGGAAGTTAACATTCTCTTTCGCACTTTAACTGCAAAATTGATTAATGAAATCTATAAAATTAATCAGAATTCTAGCTTCTTTCTGAGCAATCAAGGAACATTGAAAGTTTTAACTCTGCATGTTCTCTTCCCTTTTTTTATGTTATTTGTTATTAGTTATTTGCTCTTTATAAAACTTTACCAACTTGTAAATTTTTATTTTTTATTTATTTTTTATTTTATTTTTTTAAATAGATCTAGAATTTTTTTTTTAATTTTTATTTATTTATGATAGTCACACAGAGAAAGAGAGAGAGGCAGAGACACAGGCAGAGGGAGAAGGAGGCTCCATGCACCGGGAGCCTGACATGGGATTCGATCCCAGGTCTCCAGGATCATGCCCTGGGCCAAAGGCAGGCGCCAAACCACTGCACCACCCAGGGATCCCTTAAGTGATTTTTTTAGCGGTCTTTGCTTATGATTGCTTCTTAAATCTTAATACTTCCGAGTTTCTTTGGATAAAATAATAAAGTTCTATTCTTTCATAATATTTTTGACAATAGATTGTCATAGTAATGCTTTTCAGGTTTTGTTAAGTTTCTACCAGTCAGGTTTAAACAGGTATTTCTCATTTTCATCCTTTTGGTGGGTAAGATATCCTGCCTGGAACCTTCTACCTGCCCACTCACATCTGAATTTGAACTGCATGCTCTTTGAGCTTCTGCTGTATACCATTGATCTTTAGAGGATCTGTTCTTCCCTCTTTTTCCTTCCCTCCCTCTCCTTTCCTTCTCTGTGTGTGTTTCTCCTTTCTCTTCCTTCTCTTCTTTTCCCCTGGATGTTCCTTTTACTTAACATTCTATTCCTGTGTTAATTGATGCACTAGTCTCTGAGAAAATGAGTGTTAGTATCTTAGAGAGTTTTTTTCCCTACTAAATGTTTATTTTAGCTACTTAGTTTTCTTACCTTTTACTTGTTTTTGTTTGTATTTTCCATGTTAGAGGCTTTCCTCAAATGCTTGACAATCCATAGCTCTCTGCTCATAATTAAGAGTGGGGGACTAAATAAAGAGCTGTTTAGAAAGCCCTGAATGTATAGATGGGATTGTTGACTCTGAACTTCACTTTAGGGTCATCAGGGTAGGTTGTTTGTTAGAAAACCTTTAGCTTAAATACTTTTCTTCAACTAGTCAGATTCCCCACTGAGGAGTATCCTATCAGGAGTTTAGAAGTCTAGTTGCTGGTATCTTTGGGACTCCAGTATTATTATTATTACTTTATTCTTTTTTATTATTGAGTGGTATTCTGTTGTATGAATACACAATAATTTGTTTATCCACTTTTTTGTTTGATGGGTATACGGGTTTTTGATTTGGGGCGTTTAAGATTACTGTGAATATTGTTATAAGTGTTTCTATGGATTTATGCTTTTATTTCTCTTTCTAACTACTTAAGAGTAAAATTGCTGGTCATAGGGTAGATACATGTTTAATTTTATAAGAAATGACTTAAGTTCTCCATATTAGCTATACTATTTTCCACTTGTACTAGAAATGTTGGAGAGTTCAGTTCTTCAGCATTGTCAACATTTTGTATCATAAATCTTTTTGATTACAGTCCTTCTCATAGGTCTTGCTGTTTTGTTGTGGTTTTACCTTGCATTCTCCTGATGACTAATGAGATTGAGCATTTTTTATGTGCATATTGATATTTTCTTTTGTGTAGTGTGTGTTTAAATTTAAATCCATTTTTAAAAATTGGCTTGTTTTACTTGTTGATTTGTATTAGTTCCATACATTCTGAATCTTTTTTAAAGTATTAAAAGCTTAAGTAATTTTCCCATAGTCAGAAGAACTTTAATGCAAAATTTACTGTTAGCTAAATAGATGTTTTGATTTTTTATAGCTATCTAAAATATATTTTAGATGTGAATACTTTCATCAATAACTTTTTTAGTCCTTACCATTGTTTGGAATGTTTGAATGTTTACCAAAAGATAGTATCTAGTTTCTCCTTTTTTATGAAACATTTATGTTGTTATGTTGTATGATCTCCTACTTTTCAACTTCTTGGCACATTTTAATTTTTTTTTTTCTTTAATTCCCATCACTTATTTCACCCAGCCCCTCACTCACCTCCCTTTGGTAACCATCAGTTTGTTCCCTGTATTTGAGTCTGTGTCTTGGTTTGTCTTTCTCTCTCTCTCTCTCTCTTTTTTTCCTTTGCTCATTTGTTTTCTTAAATTCCACACATGATTTCACGTAGCATTATATTCTCTGGCTTTATCCATGTTGTTGCAAATGACAAGATTTCATTTTTTTTTGTGGCTGAATAATTATATATATATATCATATATATATATATCAGCTCTTCTTTATCCATCTATTGATGGACACTTAGACTTTTTCCTTAGTTTGGCTAGTGTATATAAATAATATTAAAATAGACAGAGGTGCATGCATCCCTTTGAATTGGTGTTTTTCTGTTCTTTGGGTAAAGTACCCAGTAGTGCAATTACTGGCTTAAAGAGTAGTTCTATTTTTAATTCTCTGAGGAAACTCCGTAATGTTTTCCAGAGTGGCCGCACCAGTTTGCATTCCCACTAACAGTGCGAGAGGTTTTCCCTTTCTCCATATCCTCGTCAACACTTGTGGTTTCTTAAGTTGTTGATTTTAGCCATTCTGACAGGTGTGAGATTGATACCTCATTATAATTTTGACTTGCATTTCCCTGATGATGTGTGATGTTGAGCATCTTTTCATGTTCATTTGACTATCCATTTCTCTTCTTTGGAGAAATGTCTGTTCATGTCTCCTGTCCATTATTTAATTTGATTCTTTGAGGAGTTTTTGGTTTAGAGTTGTATCAGTTCTTTATATTTTTGGGTACTAACTCTTTATCAGATATGTCGTTTACCATTATCTTCTTCCCTTTTCTAGGTTGACTTTTAGTTTGTTGGTTCTTTTCTTTGCTGTGGAGAAGCTTTTAATTTTGACGTAATCTCAGTAGTTTATTTTTACCTTTGTTTCCCTTACGTTGAGACATATCTAGAAAAATGTTGTCATGACCAATGTTAGAGAAATTACTAACTGTACTCTCTTCAGGGATTTATGTGGTTTCAGGTCTCACATTTAAGTCTTTAATCCATTTTGAGTTTTTGTGTTTGGTGAAAGAAAGTGGTCTAGCTTCCTTCTTTTGCAACGTAGCTGTCCAGTTTTTCCAACTCGATTTGTTGAAGAAACTATCTTTTTTTCCATTGGATATTCATTTCTCCTTTGTCAAAGATCAGTCATGTAAATGTGGGTTTATTTCTGAGTTTTATGTTCCATTGATCTCTGTTTATTTTTAGGCCAAACCATACTGTTTTAATTACTGCCATTTTGGTTTTGTGGGTTTTTTCAAAATTTTTTTATTGGAGTTCAATTTTGCTAACATATAGCATAATACCCGGTGCTCATCTCGTCAAGTGCCCCACCAGTGCCCATCACCCAGTCACTCCAAACCCCTGCCCACCTCCCTTTCCACCACCCCTTGTTCATTTCCCAGAGTTAGGAGTCTCTCATGTTCTGTCACCCTCACTGATATTTCCCACTCATTTTCTCTCCTTTCCCCTGTATCCCCTTTCACTATTTTTTGCATTCCCCAAATGAATGAGACCATATAATGTTTGTCCTTCTCTGATTGATGTACTTTACTCAGCATAATACTCTCCAGTTCCATCCACGTTGAAGCAAATGGTGGTATTACTGCCATTTTGTAATATAACTTGAAGTCCAGAATTGCAATACCTCCTGTTTTTTTTTTTTTTTCTTTTTCAAGATAGCTTTGGCTAGTTGAGGTCTTTTCTGACTCATACAAATTTTAGGATTGTTTGTTTTAGTTTTGTGAAAAATGCTGTTGGTATTTTGAAAGGAATTGCTTTAAATCTGTAGATGCGGGGATCCCTGGGTAGCTCAGCGGTTTAGCACCTGCCTTTGACCCAGGGCACGATCCTGGGGTCCCGGGATCGAGTCCTGCGTCGGGCTCCCGGCATGGAGCCTGCTTCTCCCTCCTCCTGTGTCTCTGCCTCTCTCTCTCTCTCTCTCAAAAATAAATAAATAAATCTTTAAAAAAATCTGTAGATGCTTTGGATGGTATAAACATCTTAACAATATTTGTTCTAAGCACGGAATGTCTTTCCATTTCTTTGTGTCCTCTTGAATTCATCAGTGTTTTTAGTTTTCAGAGTATAGGTCTTTTACCTCTTTAAGTTTATTCTTAGATATTTTATTGCTTTTGGTGCAGTTTTAAATGGGATTGTTTCCTTAATTTCACTTTCTACTGCTTTATTATTAGTGTATAGGAATGCAACAGATTTCTATACATTGATTTTTGTTCCTATGACTTTACTGACTACATTTATCAGTTCTGTAGGTTTTTGGTGGAGTCATTAGAGTTTTCTATGTGTAGTATCATTTCATCAGATAGTGAAAGTTTTGCTTCTTCCTTATCCACTTGGATGCCTATTATTTTTGTATGTTGTCTGATTGCTGTGGCTAGGACTTCTAGTACTATTTTGAATAAAAGCTGTGGAAGTGGATATCCTTGTCTTGTACCTGATCTTGGGAGGAAAGCTCTCAGTTTTTCATCACCAGTATAATGTTGGCTGCGGGTTTTTCATATAAGGCCTTTATCTGAGGTATGTTCCTCTAGACCTACTTTGCAGAGGATTTTTATCATGAATGGATCTTGTACTTTGTCACATGATTTTTCTGCATCTGTTGAGATACGATTATTTTTAAAGATTTTTATTAATTTGAGAGAGAGAGAGAGTGGGGGGAGAGGGAAGTAGACTCCTTATGAATAGGGAGCCCACCATGGGGCTCAGTCTCAGGACCCTGGAATCATGACAGGAGCCAAAGGTAGACACTTAACCAACTGAGACCCCAGGCACCCCCGATGGTGTGATTTTTACCCTTTCTTTTATTGATATGATTTATCATGTTGTTTTGTGAATATTGAACCACCCTTCTTTCTATCCCAGAAATACTCACACTTCATTGTGATGTATGATTTTTTAAATATATTGTTGGATTCAGTTAGTACTTTGTTCAGGATTTTTGCATCTATGCTCATGAGATATACTGACCTGTAGTATTCTTTTTTTGTGATGTCTTTATCTAGTTGGTATCAGGGTAATACTGGCCTCATAGAATGAATTTGGAAGCTTTCCTTCATCTTCTATTTTTTGGGATAGTTTAAGAAGAATAGGTATTACCTCTTCTTTAAATCTTCGGTAGAATTTGCCTGTGAAGCTGTCTGGTCGTGGACTTTTATTTTTTGGGGAGCTTTTTGATTACTGATTCAATTTTATTGCTGTTAATCGATCAGTTCAAATTTTCTATTTCTTCATGCTTCAGTTTTGGTAGGTTATATGTTTCCAGGAATTTATCCATTTCTTCTAAGTTGTCCAAATTGTTGGCATATGGGTTTTCATAATATTCTGTTATAATTGTTTGTATTTCTGTGGTGTTGGTTGTTATTTCTCCTCTTTCATTAATGATTTTATTTGGGTCCTCTCTTTTTTTTCTTCTTCTTCTTCTTCTTCTTCTTTTTTTTTAATGGCTAGAGGATTATCAATTTTGTTGATTGTTTCAGAGAACCACCAACTCTTGTTTTCATTGATCTGTTCTATTGTTTTTTAGTTTCTATATCATTTATTTCTGTTCCAATCTTTATTATTTCCTTCCTTTTGCTGGGTTTGGAATTTTTCTAATTCTCTAAGGTTAGGTTGTTTATTTGAGATTTTTCTTCTTGGGGTAGGCCTGTATTGCTATAAACTGCATATTTTTTGTAGTTAGCTAAAAGATAGCTCTGGAAAATCTAGGGGTTTAATTACTTTATATGTATTTTGAACCATTCCTCATATTTCCAGCTGCATTCTTCATCTGTGCCTTTCTAATTGCTTGGTGCCTTGAATTGCTTTTCTACCTTGGAAATTGAATTTCTAAATGTTTTCCTGGCTCTTCTACCTTGGAAATTGGAAATTCTATCTTGGAATGTCATACATCTGCCACAATTCTGTTGAGAAATCTCTTTTGTATGATCTCTTCTCTTGTACTTGTCCCTTGTATTTTTTTTTTTAAGATTTTATTTATTAATTCATTAGAGATACAGAGAGAGGCAGAAACACAGGCAGAGGGAAAAGCAGGCTCCATGCAGGGAGCCCTATGTGGGTCTTGATCCCGGGACTCCAGGATCATGCCCTGGGCCGAAGGCAGGCACTAAACTACTGAGCCCCCCAGGGATCCCCAATACTTGTCCCTTTTAAAAGACATTTTCTTAGGGTTTCAGGAGTTACCTGATATTAATATATGCTAGACACACACTTTTGTCTTACGTTTCTTGACAGAGAAAACTTGTGAGATTCATCCTTGTGCCTTCAGCCACATTTTAAGGCACACAACCATATTGTGAAGAGTATTATTAGCTGCTCTGTCATGCTAACTATCGAGAATTTCTTCTTTCTCCTTTGTTTTCCTCTGCACGGTTAGGATCTGTAAGTTAATAGCTTTTGTATATACCTGTTTAATATGAATGATTTGTTTTAGGGAAATTGGGATGCATCTTAAAATCGATGATGTTGACATTGGTTTTGTCTTAGTGGCACCTAAAATAATATCTCTTGCACTTGAAATAAGTAGTAAAGTGAAAGATAAAACTCTTATGCTTATCTTGGTGGGGAAATGAACCTCAGATATATTTAACATATTCCATTTGAAATCAGTACTTAAAGTAACTTTCCTTACTGAGTTAGATAAAATAGCGTTTCAGGTTTTTTCGGCAGTACATGGTCCTTCTCGTTTTTGGAAATAGTTCCTGTGAGAGAATGCTCATGTTGAAAATACTTAATACCTGGGCAGTAGTTTTATGGGTGCTTCGTTAAACTGTCAATTAAAAAAAAACTCAATTTATTGGGTGGTAAATCCATTTACAATCATAAGCACTCTTTGGTGTGTATAGACACGGCTATACCTATTACTCTAGATCAAAACAATGAAATTTTACCATATTGGTCTTATAATACAAAGCTGAAAAATATTTTATTTATGTTTATGTTTAATTGTGTTATGTCTTCCTTAAGCCTAATATATCATTACTGAAAAGTATTAGTATTTTCTTTCTACTATCTCAGTGCCAAATCTAAACTGCCATGTTTTCTACTTTAAAGTCTTCCCCCAGCCACTCCTAATTATTAAATCTTTAATTTCTTCTATGTTCCCTTTGGCCTTAGTTCAGTTACATGGACTTGCTTTGTGGTCTTTCTTGTAATCTTATTTCTTGGTGGCTGATATATTTATTTTACTCTTTCAGAAACTTTACTCACGGTTTCCCTAGTTAAAGTCATATACTACTTAGTTCACTTATATGGTTTAGTTAATGAGGTTAAGAACTCCTTAATAACTATTACTCAGCTCTCCAATAGGGAGGGGTTTTACTACTCAGTTGCATTTAAACTACTGTATTTGACTAAAGGACTGACCTTCATTTCTATTCCTTCTCTGCTCTTAATTTTCTTGAAACCTTGAAGAACCTTCTATTTAGGTTTGTTTTATTGTGGTTTACTTTCAAAGGACTTATGCAATCTTTTAAAACATTTTAATTGTTAACGTTCCATTTTAATCGAATAAAATTTTGTCTTTCAGAGTATCTTAAAGTGAGGTCACACGATCCTGAGGAAGCTATTAGACATGATGTTATTGTGTCTATAGTTACAGCTGCTAAAAAGGATATTCTTCTGGTCAATGATCACTTACTTAATTTTGTGAGAGAGAGAACGTTAGACAAACGGGTAAGTAGGAATAATAATTAGTAGGCATTCACTTTGAATACTTGAAGCTTAACAGTATTTCATTTGAAAATACTGAGATGAAGATGTAATTAGCCCTTTTTTAGGGGGCCATTTTAATATTTAAAATAATGTTAATGAGAAGGTTTTATTTTTTTGGTTACATAAAATTTTGTTAGTATTTAAAAGTCAGATTATTTATTCTCTTCTTAAAAATGAGATGGCTCTAAATGATAGATGTTTTGCCTGGGCACTAATAAGTTACTTGTAAAGGCCTCTGACACAGCTTCTTATGTTGTTGGGTTGTTTTTTTTTTTCCCCCATATGGGTATCAGTTGATAGTCCTTTAGCTGGTTGTATTATAATTTCTGTGGAGTAGAAAATAACATGTTTTCAACTTGGAAAAGCTAAGCCTATCAGAGCAGCATGCTTTTAGGCTATTGTCTGTGACCCTAAACCTTTCTTCTTGAGTGAGCACCCACTAGCTGCACTCAGTAATCATTGGCTTCTTAAGAAAGGTACTGTGTTGTCTTATTCTTGTATTCATATTGCCTGAAGTATATTAAACAGTCAGTAAAGTGTAGAAGTAAATGTTCCCTCTCTCCTTATCCCCATCGCCTTTCCTTTGTGATAAGAGTTTTACTGGACTTACTAAGCTTGAGTAATTTTTTTAAAGAATGAAAATCATTGATGTATTTGAGGGTTAATTAGCAAAGAAGGTGAGAGGTCTGTTGGTAGTTATGGATAGCTTTGACTAGGTAAATACATTATGACATTTTAATAGTTGCTTATAAGGTTGATTGTGCTGTCTTCATTTAATGCTCTCTTTGATAATGCTGGTTGTGAGTGAAGAATAGATGGGCAGGAATTGTATAGTTTTCCCTCCAAATCTATTGAGTATTCAGAACAACTTATTTTAACTAATAAATTTAGACTTGTCCTTATTGAATATTTCATAGGGTATTAATGAAAAGGCCAAAAGGCATAGAGAAGGAAGAGGAGATTGGCCTCGTAGTAGGATAACAGCCTTCTAAGTGTTCAAGTAGTCTTTTTCTTTGTTACACTTAGAATTTGAGCCTAGTGTCTGTGTATTATTGGGGTTTCAAAAATTCACATAATTTTTGATAATCATGTTGTATTCATCATAGGGCTGCTTGGTTCATTCATATAAATATTAATTGTGTATCAAAAATAATTGAACATATTTATGTTGTTGGCAGTATTAGAATATGCTCTATCTTTAAATTCTCCTTAAAGCAGAAGTTTGGGGAATTAGAGATAAGATAGAGAATTAGAAAGTTTCTGCAAACAAATTGAATTCTTATTTTATGAGTAAGGCTTTTAAAGTATTTTATTTCAGTATGTATCAGTCAGTGGATGGATGAGGTAAGGACTGTTCTTAATCTGCTGTAAGTAATTGAAAGAAAAACCAAGGGAAGAATATCACTATGAAAGACAGACTGCAAATGAAAAAAAAAAATCTGTGCACCTTCATGAAGTTCTAAACATTACTAACATCCTTCTGATTGTGGTGCTGTTTGTGTAAAATTAAAGAATAAACCCATCCCAAGATAATTAAGCAGTATTAGATATACTATAGCAAATAGATGTTTTATGAGACTGACGCACTGCGCTGAGGCACCTGCAAAATAGGTATTTTAAAAAATAGTTTAATACATTTCTCTTCCACTTGAGCTTGATTCTCAAATACACAAAATGAACCGAGTGTCTTTACTGAGCATTTGATAAAACCAATATCATGTATCTTTAATTGAAGTATGTTTAATATACACCATCAATTAGAAGAAGCATATAAGGGATAGGTCACAATTAACTCATTCTTTGCCTTTTAAAATTTGGTAGCATACTTTCACTCACCAATTCTAAGTGACTTTATGTGATTTTGATTAACTTTTGTTTTTTAGGGGAAGGTGAAGGGTGTAAGATATTAAAACATTAAAGTTCTGTATTCATGTTGCTGTGTCTGTACCTTACATAGTAGATCTATTAAAGTGATAGTTGTGTTTTTTTCATAGTCATTATAAATTGATATCCTATAACTGAGGATTGATGAAGATATATTGTGTAAAGTAACTTAAAAACAAGAAAACAGACTTTCCTGCAATATAATGTGAGCATTTTTAAATTATAAGAAAGCACTTTTGTTTTTACTTTAAGTGGAGAGTTCGTAAGGAAGCCATGATGGGACTTGCCCAAATTTATAAGAAGTATGCTTTACAATCAGCAGCTGGAAAAGATGCTGCAAAACAGATTTCATGGATCAAAGACAAATTGCTACATATATACTACCAAAATAGTATTGATGATCGGTAAGTAGAGGACACCATATGTAAAATATATGGTGCTTTTGGTGTATTTAACTATTGTTGATCTGTTGTTTTAGGCAAGCTATTTTCTTTGTTACTTTAAAGGCTCTCGGTTTTTACTGCAAGTCAAAGGTAGTGACTAGTTTTCTTCCCACCAAAGCCATAAACGAAGCAGTAATGTATGTATAACTTTAGGGAGGGATAACAGCTTTTATGTTCCTTTTTGTATACTATTTTTAGACAGCAGTACTTAAAAGTAGAAATGTGTGTAAAAATTTAAATTTTATTTCAGAGATTATTTTTCAAATAAAATATTTTCAAATAAATGAAAATATATCCCTTGTATTATAGACATTTTAAATAAATAGTTTCTACTAAAGGATAAAAAGCCAGTTTATAATTTTATTTGAAATACACTATCTGAATATAGTCTTTGTGTTTTTCTATTGCAGTATAAGGTTAGATCTTGTATGGATCCTAACCATTTAGTAGTTAATAGATCTGTGAATCCTGCTTGTAGTCTGAATTGATTTCACTTGATTGAATTTGTTTTAAATTGTTAGATCCAAATGATCTTGCCTATTATATATCAGAATGAGAAAATTAAGAACCTTACAATTTTAAGAGTTAGAGAAACTAGAAACTCAATGTCTTAGGTTAACATTATCTAAGAAAGTTCATAGTTACTATCTTTATAAAATTGACATTTTTAGACTTTTTGAGTGTACAGCGTCATTGCATGGAGATTTGCATTATTATTATGACTAACCAAGTCTTTGTTCATGATGCTTATACAAAAACCCAGAAGAATCTTAAAAATGTCAAATGTGAATTTGTCACTTGGAAGGACCTGGTGTAGTTTCAGATAAGGAAATTGAGTTCCTCATATACACTCAAGGTCATGCAGAGGTAGTTATCTTAGCTGGATATGACTGTTGCCAGTGCATCCAATTAAATCTTTTTTCAGCCCCCCTTCTTACAGAAGGAAATTATTGATTTGGAAATCTCATCTCCACTCAGAAAGCAGAAACTTCTTTTTATATGTATTTTTTGTGTGTTTTGGAATTTTTTATACAAATTTAATACATTAAAAAAATAATTACAGTACCTTCTCTGTTTTTGTAGGTTGCTTGTTGAACGGATCTTTGCCCAATATATGGTTCCTCACAATTTGGAAACTACAGAACGGATGAAGTGCTTATATTACTTGTATGCCACACTGGATTTAAATGCTGTGAAGTATGTTTCAAATGTCCAGTTTTGTTCTTTCATCTTTTTCAGTGTACTGGATTTTATGGGGGAATAAAACACAACTATATTTTTAAATGTTAACAATTTACATAATGTAAACTTTGTTTAAATTGTCAGATACAATAAAATACTTGGCTGTTTTTTCAGAAGGTAGATTAACCAGGATTCAGAGATTAACAGGGATTTTTTTTAAGCAATTAAAAAAATATAACTGCTTGACATGGAGTCTTTCAGGATTTGATTTTTTTTTTTTCCCCTGGACATTCATATTACTGTTTCAAGAAGTATTGATGTACCCTTTTGATTGTCTTTTCCTTAAGGTGTTAAGAAGGTACATATTGAGAAAATCCTACCACCTTATTTTGACCTGATACCGATTTGAAATTTGCTGTAGGGCAGTAGGGTACATATTTTTATGCTACATAGCATCAACATAGTGTTACAGTTTGGCATTCGGGTAAGCACAGATATATTTGTATGACCATTTTTAATTCAGAAAATACTTGTGAGTGCCTGTATCTTAAGGAATTGGAATTTGGACATGGGAGAGACATTGCTAATTGAATCATACTGAGGGTTAGGAAATTGAGGCCTAGAGATTGATTTCCTCTAGGTTTTAGAAAATGTAGAATCTTTGCATTCCAGTAAATGTAGTTACAAGTGTTGGGGATTAAATGTTCAGAAATTGGAAGTCTATGGAGCTGTATATAATTTTCATTCCTACATCTGCTTAATGGGACTTTTGACTTTCCTCCCTCCATGGAAATAATTATATGTGCTATTTATATCTTTCATAGAAACATTGAAGTAAAGGTTATAGAAGGAGAAATGTAAATTCCTTATTACCTGCTGTATTTCAGGCAGAAGAGTATGTATTATCAATGGCTGCTTTTGTGCTTTAACAGCAGAATTGAGTAGTTTCAACAGAGACTGTATTGTATGGTCCACAAAGCTTAAAATATTTATTATCTGGCCTTTTATAGAAAAGCTTGCCAACCCTTCATGTAAGTGATATTTTTCTTGTCTTTCACATGAGAAACTGAATCCCAGAGGTCAGTTAATTTGCACAAAATCACACAAATTAGTAAGAGACAAAGTCAGGATTTGAATTCTATTCTGCCTGGTTCCAAAATTCATTCTTTTTCTACTGCATACAGTAAAATATGTTGCTACCATATTTAGTTGATTTTAAAACATAAGATTGTCATATACTAACACCTCTAGAATTAGAATATATCCTCATCTTCTTAGTGCAGTTGATGGCTTCTTAGAATGAATGAGATAGATGTCGTATTTGAAACAGCTTATGTGAAATCATATCTAGCCTTCTTGACTCGGCTCATCCGTCATTCATGGATAAAATAGAAGATACTCTCAAGCAAAAAATGAGAGTTCACTCATATATCCTACTTGAAATTACTAAAGAATAATAATTTCTTTTGGCAAAAAGGAAGTTAAATCCAGAAGGAAGGAATACAATGCAAAAAGTGAAAAAATTTTCAAAGACTTTTGTACCTCTAAATAATCAGTGCAATAAATCAATAACAAAATTTTCTTTACAAGGAAAGGAAGTATAGATTAAAAAGTAGGTTAGCATCTAGGCTGATACTTAGCCAGCACTTACTTCCTGGAACCGTATGTATGTTCTCTTGAGAGTCCTTGATTTCTTACACCAACCCACTCTCCCCTGTCCCTGGGCACAGTGAAATGACCTTCTGGCCCTTGTTCTTCTGCCAGCAGTTCTGATTGATTGGTGCTGTGCCTTTGTGAAAAATTTTGAATACTAGGTAGACCCTATCAGATAACAGCATGTAAGATGGTAGCTGTAATGTTCTGTGGTTCTTTTATCATAGAAGAGTGAGTGACCCTCTTCTATCATAAAGAGAAGAGTGATTGATTAATTAGGCTGTAAATTAAGTATGCAAATTAAAATTTTGAGTTGCTCTAAGAGAATAGAATTGGGATGTATAACTTCCAAACCCATAGGAACAAAAAAGAATTAATGAAAGCTTTAATATGAGAAATGGAAAATAAAATTAAAAGATAATTGTAAATGGAAAATACTAAATAGCAGTTATAAAGCTATATATATCAGGGCCGCCTTGGTGGCTCAGTCATGATCTCAGGGCTGTGAGATGGATCCCTACGACTTCCCACCCTTCTTCTGACTCTCACTGATCGTATGCTCTCTTTTCCTGTCTCTCTCTCTCAAATAAGTCTTTAAACAAAACTATAACATATGATTCATCAGTTAAATAACAAGTATGTTTGATTGAATTAAAAAGTAAAAATGCTAATCGCAAGAAATACACTGAAAAATACTGACATAGAAAAGTCTAAAGTAAATCCCAATCTGTGGACCAGTTGATTTTGCAAAAATGGTTGGTGAGTCAATAGATTTTTAACTGTTTTAAGTTAAAACACTTAAAATATTTTAATATTTTAAGCGATTTTTAAAATTTTAATCAATATTTTGGAATTGACCAACTGTAAATCTAATACTTAACAGTTTATTACTTTAGTACTTTAAATTTACATTTGTGAATTATTTCTCCAAAAGTCTTTACATTTATTGTTATGAAATATTTAATGCATACAAAGAAATCACATGAGTTTCAAACTATAGTAATTAAATAAATATTTTGTGAATCTACACCCATCTTGTGAACTCCTGTCCTTTTCATCCTCCTGTCCTCCACACAGAGGAAACTATTATCCTTAATTATGTATTTTTTATTTCCTTTTAAAAAATAGTTTTATCATGGTGGCTCAGTAAGATAAGTGGTTGAGTCCTGATTTCAGCTTAGGTCATGATCTCCGGGTCCTGGGATCGAGCCCTGTGTCGAGCTCTGAGCTCAGTGTGGAGTCTATGTACCCCTCTCCCTTTGCCCCTCCCCCTGCTCTGTTTTTTCTCTCAAATAAATAAATTCTGTAAAAAATGGTTTTATCTTAGGTATTATCCCTCAATAATATTTATTTTTGCTTATTTTTGAGCTTTATGAGAGTGGAGTAATTGTGGGTATAGTCTTTTGTGACCTCCTCCCCCGCCCCGTTTTGTTATGTTCCTCAGATTCATCCATAACATACATAGCTTGTTGGTCATTCATTTTCACTATGGTATAGAAATACATTATGTCACAATTATATCCTGTTATCTTGTCATTGGAAATTGGAGTCAGTGGAAAGAATTGGTATCCCCCCCCCCTTTTTTAACTAATACAAAAGTAGTGCCACTATGAGCAGTTTTCAATTTAGAGTACACATGCAATGGTCTCTCTAAGGTATGATTATGAATGGTTCACAAATTTGGCTGTATAATTACTTAGAGAGGTTTAAACAATACTGACAACCTGAATCTCACCTTCACAGATTCTCATTTAATTAGTCTGAAGTGTTGCTTTGGCATGGGGTTTTTAGAAAAGTTTCTATAGATTCTAATGGGCAACCAAGGTTTGGAATCACTGATACATAGCTCGGAGTAGAATTGCTGAGTGTGTACATTGTCAGCATTATAAACTAGTATCAAAATATTTTCCAATGATTATGTTCATTTGTTTTCCCACCAGTGGTTTGCAGTTTTCTGTGTTTTTATAAACATTATCAGACATCTTACTTTTTGTGAATCTTTTGGGTCTTAAATTTTGTCTCCTCTTTTTTTTTTTTTCATTTTTGTGAATAGTAGTAAGCTTGATGTTTTCCATAATGTTTCTAATATTGTCACAGTCCTCACAACTCTGTATTATAACATCTGACCTACTTTCTTTATTTACATTACCATTCTAGTCCAGAAGCCGTTTGAATTTGTAATCTCGAATTAGTTTGAAAGACACTTAAAAATGGCTGCTTGGCAGGCAGGTTCATGGTGAGAACTTGTTTGATAAGATCGATCTATCTTTCTTTCTTTCTTTCTTTCTTTCTTTCTTTCTTTCTTTCTTTCTTTCTTTCAGATCTTATTCTGTGGCCATGTTTTTTTGGGGAATACTTCCTTTATTTAAAAATTTTTGATGTGTTAGCAGTTTCGTAAGCCCCTCAGTTAACTAAATATCTTTTTTAAGATTTATTTGAAAGAGAGGAAAATGCACACATGCATGCACAAGAGAGAATTTTCAAGCAGATTCCCTGCAGATTGGGGAGGCCTACGCATAGATCTTGATCCTACAACCCTGAGATCATGACCAAACCTAAACCAAGAGTTTAATGGACTGAGCTTAACGGACTGAGCCACCTAGGTGCCCCACTAAATATCTTGATTAATGAAAAGGAGAACATAGGCAGGTTTGAGTACTCTCCGATCCTGGTATGTGTTGACACTTCCCTCAAGTTGCCTAAAACAACTGTTAGTGAGTGACAAGAGTTAGTGGTAGTTTCATGTGTTCTGGTTATAATGTCCTTCATCAGGCAGACCCTCATCTAGACCGTTTTTGTACTGCTGAGTCAGGTGGGTAGTTTGCCAGCTGGGAGTGGAATGTTAGAGGGGAGGTTCTTTTCAACTTTTGTATGGGTTTCTGATGCTACCCAAGGGTAACTTTTTTCTTTGAATTAGTGAGAAGAGTAGACAGATAGCAACTGTAAGAGTATCTGTGCTCTCACCAAATTTTTTACATTTATTTTAGTGACAGAGACCTGGAGTTTCGACTCATACCAAATTGTATTTGTCTTCCTGTTGTGGTGATATTATTTCTACTATTTTTTTTTCTTTTTAAAGGACTATTTGGGAAGACAAACACAAGGACAAATTGTCTTTGATGCTTAAGATAATTTTATTAAAGGATTTGAAGATGGTTTCCCTAAAAATATAATACAAAATCTTAGTGTTGGTCACTTTTTGACTTACACTATAGCCATAAGAGTTTATAATGAGCTTTAGAATTGCTTCAGATTTCATCTTTAAACTAATAAATAGCTGTTAGAAGTATAATAATTTCTGCTTTATTTTAAGTGAAGGCAAGTTTCAAAATCCAGGTCTGTCAGAGTTGTAATTAATGATGAAGTGTTAGGAAGCAAGAGACAATTCATTGACTTTAGAGTTCAGGAGTAATTTCACAGATGACTACTTACTCTGTTTCTTTGAAAATTATTTTAATTACATAACTCTTACTTAGCTATTAGATTTTTACAGTCCTCTGTATTCTGATCATTTTTCTTTTAATGTCTACATTCTTAAAGTGTACCAATTAAATTTTTAATGGAAATTTAATAACTTGAAAACAGTATAATTATTTTTAAATTTAACTTCTAAGATAAAATGCTTTTGCTTTGCTAGTACCATTTTGAGATGACCACTGTAAAGGAATTTAAGTGTCCAAATTTAAACTAATTTCTATAAAAATATCCAAAGGTATTCTTAAAATACAGTATTAAGGAGGAAAATGAAAAATTTTAACAATGAATTCTCTATCAAAAAAAAGGTGGTTTTATATGCTTTTGTGTACTCTATTACTGTTTTATGGCAGTGCTTCATATCTGTGATAGTGGAGGTTCAAAGTGTAGGTAATTGAAAACAATAATGAAAAGTATTTGGGTTTGCAAAATTTCCTTCTGAAATACTAAAATATGTATGATTTTGAATTCTGTAACAATATTTCAGTAACATTAACTGTTCTCATGATTTATGTATTTTTTCTTGAGTATGTATATAATCTTTTTAGATTTAAATTTCTGTTAGAAAACAAAGTATTTAAGAGTATTAAGAGGACATCAAAAATTCTGCCATATAAAAATAATCACTTATATATAATATGTAAATACACATATTTGTATAACCCAATATATATAGCATGTAAATGTCTAACTTAGATTGTATATATATGTTTATATATAATATATGGAACATATAGAATATGTTATAGTTAAATATTACATGTAATGTTTTACTTAATTTGTATAATATATATAATTTATATAATATGTGTTATTTAGTTAACTATGTGATATCTATACTTCAGACTGTAGACCTCAGTGAGTCCTTAAAAATCTAAACACATAGGGTACCTGGATGGCTCAGTTGGTTGGGCTTTCTACTCTTGGTTTTGACTCAGGTCATGATATCAGGGTCATGAATTTTTTTTTTTTTTAAGATTTATTTATTTATTCATGAGAAACACAGAAAGAGAGAGGCAGAGACATAGGCAAAGGAAGAAGCAGGTTCTTCACAGGAGCCTGATGCAGGACTCCATCCTGGATTCCAGGATCATGACCTGAGCTGAAGGCAGCTGCCCAACTGCTGAGCCACCCAGGCATCCCAGGGTCATGAAATCTTAAAAAAAAAAAAAAAAAAAAAAAAAAATCTAAACACAAACTCTACCTTTAAATAGTAAGATTTTGAAGATTAAATAAAACAAGTGAGAGATTGTTATATTTAACTTATATTAGTTTGATTTATACATATTTTAATCTTATAATGACTATATATCTGTAAGTATATAAATATGCATTTTACATAACATACATAAATGTAATATATATTATATAAAATTACATTATAAATATTTGTTTTAGGAAAAAGTATCCTCTATGAGCACTAACTCTTCTGTTTGTGGCTTTGATTCCTTTTCATCCTGTCTACTGTAGGTCCTTACCCCATCAAATATTCCTTTATTTCTCAAGTTTACAATCTCTGTAGGTAATTCCTATCCCCTAGCTTACACACATGTTGCAGTTAATGATAATTCTTCCCTATTTTTATACAAAACACAAAACTTTTTTTTTTTTGATACAGATATCCCTTCACATGTGCATACCTCTTATATTTGTCTCTTCCCTTTCTCTCCATACATCATCAGTTGCTTCCTTCTGTGAAGTTTTACCTCATCTCTGTCCTCTCTTTTGTTAATTTGAACTTAAAAGAAAAAACAATATAGGTGGAATATTCTGGAAGGATTTGTATTCTGTTTTATTATTTGAATTTATATGTTTGTGTTTGGCAGAGCATTGAATGAAATGTGGAAATGTCAAAATCTGCTCCGACATCAAGTGAAGGATTTGCTTGACTTAATTAAGCAACCCAAAGTAAGTTAAATTTAATGGAAGTTTTCCTTTGATGGTAAGTTTTGTAAAAACGTATACGTTTTAGTTACTCTTTACCATTGCTACAGTGTAGTTGAACAACTATTTCTGCGTGGAATTGTTCCATGTGAGAAGCTATGGTCTCTAATTTAGAACAAGGAAAATTTTAAGAAACTTACTGCATAGAAAAATATAAAGTTTAACTTCACTATATCAGTAAAAGATAATACCCAGTAGGAAAGAGAATATGCTTCTTTGTACTCAGAATTAAAGTTGTCCTGTAGCTTTAAAAAAACCCAAATAATAACTCAGTATCAATGAAAGCACAGAAAATAGAGTAAATTGCACTCCATCTTGCCACATCATCTATGTATAGTCTTGTGGTTTTAGGAAAATTTAATATCATGTAATTTTAATTAAGCATCTTTATATTTTTACTTATAATTAATATTACTGTAATTTTAATGTACCACTTGATTTTCATTATTACAAGTTAATGGTGGTATTCATCCAGTTGGTATATCATATGTATCATAATCATATCAATGATTCTAGGTGTTTTTCCCCCTGGAATGTTGTTTGAAATGTTGTATATAGGCCTGTAAAAGTTATAATTCATCAAAAAAGCAGTATGTGTGGTCATTTTAAATTGCATCCAAGGAAATATATAACCCACAAAAATAATAATACACTTTTTTATTTCTTTTCAATCCTTAGTGGGACCCCCCCCCCAAGAAAAAACCCCACAAAACAAAACATACACTGCATCTTCATAGAACAGAGATCAATAGAGAGGAATTGTTTCATGTAAAGGGAGGCTAACAGTAACCTCTTTGTTTATTGAGCATGATAATTTAACTTGTGATTATTGAGTATATTGAATCTGCTAGAATAGGTTTTTTTCTTATAATGGCTTAAACCTAATTTTGGTGATTTTGTTGTTTTAATATTTTCTCTGCCAAGGAGCAAAATTGGAAAACCCCATTTAAGTTAGTGTGCTTCAGCCAGTAAATATATATTTCAGTCAGTGTTTTAATTCAATAAGTGTGTTTCAGTTAATAAGCTCTGGATAAAGTGTTCCTGTTTGCTGTCTAGAGATGTATTAATTTACTTCCTTTTGGTCAAAGGTGCAGAGGTTAATTAAAAATATGAGGTGTCTTTATATGCATGTATATAAAATTATTGGAAGTCTCATAATAGCTAAGTAGTATGTTAAGTATGCAGATCATATGTTGAACAGAATGATGCGTGAGACTAAGAAAAAAGAATGTTGGTTTTTGACTCTCACTGTCCCTTTAAAATTTATTTAGTGGGAACTTCTGTTGCCTGTTGGTAATGACTTGAGAGGGTCTCATGACTTCATTCTCATGTGAAAAAACAAACTACAGTCTCAATTCAACTAAAATGTTTTCTACTTTGTGGATTTTCCTTTAAAATATCTTAAGATAATTACTGAGTTAGCCAAGTTAAGAGGGAATTCTCATTAATGTGACTTGAGGTTGAATTCTTATTGATGTGATTTTGGTTGAAGAAACCAAATGGGAGAAGATGGTACCCCAAAGTGGAGTTTTAGTGAGAGGAGAATTAATAGTCTATTATTACTCAATATTCACTTTATACCAAGAATTACAGTAGACATTATAGAGTTAAAGGTAGAAAAAATGCAAAGCTTTGTTTAACTTTTGGGTATTCATGTTTCTTACCATTTTACTAGGAAAACTCTTACTTACCAATCAGTATATGTTTTTTTTTTTTGCCTTTTTCGTTATTCAGTCTGATAAGGCTAGTTTTTATTCTTAATTAGTTCAGCATTGTAGCCCTTCTACTTTAAATAAATTGGTTTGCTTGGTGTCACTGAAAGTGACATAATTTCCAGTATTGTACTTTTGTTGATACTTTTTCTTTTTCATGAGGAGCAGCTTCTTGACAGCCCAGCAGTACCTTTTACCCTTTGAATTAAACAAAAGTCTTATAAACAGATTCTTAATCAGAAATATTATATGACTGTAAACTGATCTGTTCAAATTCTTTGAATTCCAAATATTTGGGAATTAACTCTTTTTTTTTTTTTTTTGTCTCTCACTTAGTCTTAGCAGGCTCCTGAATAGGGATGGTTTATTTGTTGCCTTCACTCCAGTGTTTTTCTAGTTAAATATATTATACAGAGTTGCTCATTGACATCGTTTTTAAAGAAATAACACTAACTTGATGCTTTGACTAAGTGGCACTCTTAGGAACATCTTTTATACCTGTGACTTTACAGACTGTTACATGGGGTACAATGTAGTGAACACATTCATTCCCTGAAATACTGTGTTGATACAGCAAGTAAGTAGCACTCTTGGAAAACTCTTTTGTACCTGTCAGCTGCATCTTTTTAAATTTTCTTTATCCAGGAAAGCCCATTACTTCATGACTATGCCTTATAATCCTCAGGCTTAAAAATTTTAGGTACACCTTAAATAAGAATTATATACTTCCCAACTTTTTGTTTGAGGTAAGCTTAAAACTTGGAAACCAGGTTATTTTGTCCCTTTTTAAAACTTGGTTGCCCTGTTCTTTCATTGCTGGAGGAAACAAAATATCTCCCTATTTCAGAAAGTTGGTATAGCAGTCTCCTTTTTTGTTTGGAGGATGACAAACGGTGAGGGGGAAGAGATGACAGCAGTGGAGCATTCACCTTTCATTCACTTTGCGGAGCTGACAGTTGTGGTCAGGGTGCGGGCCTGGGGCATTAGTAGGTTATGCTTATTTAATTTTCTGAAGGGTATAATGATTATTGTTAGGAAATTTTAATTTTGCATTTTTGTGTGTGTGTGATTTACAGACAGATGCCAGTGTCAAGGCCATATTTTCAAAAGTGATGGTTATTACAAGTAAGTCATTTCAAATATTACATTTAAAATTTAAAGTTTAATTGAAATATTTCTTTTCGATAACTTAAATGGGTTTCATGGAGTTTCATTTTAGGCTTTGATAATAAAGGAAAAGAGTAAAAGTGTTTTTGATTGATTTTATTTTTTCAATAGACAACTCAGCTTCTGCTTTTTTTTTTTTTTTCTGATTTTCATTTACTTTGCTACCCAGAATTTTTCTTTTTCTTTTTTGTGCTGGATGAGCAAGAACTAGAGAAAGGATATATTGTATAAATTTACTTGTAGGAATTCATTCGAATTATTGCATAAGCTTACTGTGAAAACTGAATCTGTACTTTGGTGTTGCTTGCTCTAATGAATCTATTTGAAGCTAATTTCGTTCTGAGCCAAAATTTAGAGTAAAGTGTATACCTAATAATTACAAAAGAGCTTCTTTGGAAAAAAAATACCAATTTGCTTTTTTGCTTTCAGTGATTTCAAATGAAATGTTATTTAATTACATTCAGCAGTAAATACAAAAGGATTATGTAGCACATCTCTCTGTTCAGCACAGAGATTGGGCAAAAGTAGCTGTTTTTGTAGGGCATTTGCTTTTCCTCCTGTCCAGAGATTACTGTGTATAGCATAGCATGTGGACAGAGGGGGGAATATCAGGAACACCTGGAGAAGCACTTCTGCTGACTTCCGTTTGGGAATAGTGAAGAGATCTGTTTTAGATGGATCTGAGATGTTAACAAATATTCCAAGGTGTGGTTGGAAGTAATGCTTAGCTACTGAAGAGAACAGTAAGCTAATTAACTGAGTTTTAGACTGATAGGAGTTTGGCATGAATAAGGCTTTAAGACTAAAATATCTTTTAGTCTTGGGCAATTAAACATAAATTAGTTTTCAGTTTCTTCAGATGACTTCAAGCAAGTGATTTTCTGCTGTTGTTTAATAACTGTCTCCTTGTTATTTAGCTGTGGATACTGTCTCTTAAAGGAGATCATCTCACATATTTTCTACTTTTTTTACCCCTGTTTTCCGAAATTCTGTTCTGAGGATGCTGGTATCCTGTAGGTGTTAATAATGTTGTTAGAAAAAAGGATTTCATGTTCAAGAATGTTTGTAGAATGCTGAGTTAAACTTTTTGTTTCCTCCCTCCCTTTTCCCTCTCCTGTCTTCTGCCATTTCATCCCCCCCCCCACCCAATCTGTTTGTTTCTTGAATGGTAGACCTTATTGGTATGATGTCTATACATTATGGAGGGACTATAAAGTGACATCTTCCAAAATTGTTTGAAGACAGTACAGTAGACTTTTTTATATCATAGACACATGAAAAGATGCAGTCAAGTATTTATAATAAGGACAATTTGTTCTTATTATCCTCAATGATTTGGCCAGGACTTAAAGTGGAATTTCAAAGTTGTATTTGAACTTGAAGACTGCACTTAGTGCACTCGTATTTTAAGATTTAGTTGAATTTCTATAACTTTTATTATAGTCTATAGATTTATAATTTCTGGTATTAGAAGTATCCTAGTCTGGTCCTCTATAACAGTTGTGAGTAGTCAAAAAAATAGATCAACATGTTACTAGCTTTCAGAAGTGTTTTGATACATGGATATATTAGGAGAGGGGTATAAAAATCATCTTTGGTTCTTTGAGGACTCCTCTTTTCTCATGCAATAATGACACATCCTATAGTAACACCTGAAGCATGTTGCTTAGCATATGTTATTGACTGATAGCATCTGTATATGAATTATCCTTGGATAGTTTAACAATTTAATGCAATACAGGAAGATAATTTCTTAAAGGTAAAACTTACTGATCTCTTGTTGTGAATTACAAGAGAACAATGTACACAATAAGCTCAAGCAGATGGTAGTAACTGGTATTATTCAGGTTGACATTAAGTGCCCTTAAATATTATAAGGGGTTATTTAGAAATAGTTCACTCTTTTCCTACAAAGATGTTCCTTCACACTGCTCTTATTTCATATTTCTAGAAGGCAGAATTATGTGAAAATTGACTATTGAAGTTGCTCTACAATTTCTAATTAAACTGAATTTGTAAATTAGGATTGGTAAAGTAATAAAAAGAATGAAAAATGTTGATCTTTTATTATTTTGGAAATTGTCTAAAGTGGTATTTTAATTGAATTTTAATTTATTTAAGGAAATTTGCCAGATCCTGGTAAGGCTCAAGATTTCATGAAGAAGTTCACACAGGTGTTAGAGGATGATGAGAAAATAAGAAAACAGTTAGAAGTACTTGTTAGTCCAACATGTTCCTGCAAACAGGCTGAAGGTTGTGTGGTAAGGACAGACATTTAGAAGAGCTCATGTTTGGGGCACCTGGGTGGCTCATTTGGTTATTATGTGTCTGACTCTTGATTTTTGGCACATGTCATGATCTCAGGGTTGTGAGATTGAGCCCCTTGTTGGGCTTCATGCGACGTGTGGAGCCTGCTTAAGATTCTCTCTCCCCCTCTCCCTCTGTCCCTCCCTATCACCCCCCCTCCCTACTTGTGCTCATTCTCTTTACTTAAAAAACCAAAAAGAGCTAATATTTGGAGAATCCCCCAAACCTTTTTTGATCCCTTTTATAAAATAATTTATATTTGTTATGCCAAATTTATAATCATTATGTAGAATGTTATTTTATATAATTTTCATTATGTCAAAATTTGACCCCTTTTATAAAATAATTTATATTCATTTATGTAAAATTTATATTCATTATGTGAAATGTCAAAAAAAAAACAATAAACTACAATCCTTTAGAGATAATTGCTTTTAATATTATGGTGTATATCTTTCAAGATAAGATCATCATATACATACAGCATTGTGTAGTTTACTTATTTTTATTAGCCTTTTATAGTATTAATAACAATGTAGCATACTACTATTTAATATATGTACCATAATTATTGAATAGTCCATTTGTGTTACACATACAGATTTTTTCTCAGCTTTTGTTTAAAGAACACTTTAGTATCTTTATAGCCAAGTAAGTTTTCACAGTCTTGATTATTTCTTGATAGATTCAATATTGGCTCCTATCATTGTTGGAAAGAAGCAAAACAAAGAAAAATATAATTATTTTGGTAGGATTTATATTCTGGGTTGCTAGTCATCTGACCATCTTTTCTTCTTGGGCAAATTAGCCATTTAAAATTTTTTTTTGTTGTAAATTGTGTGTTTTTAATCTTCTGGAATGACATTTGTCTTTATTGATTTGTTAGACATGTATGTTACTTAAGCTGCAAATAATTTCCTGTCATTTGTAGTTTGCCCTTTTATTTTGTTTGTGATGTCCTTTACATACCATAGTTTTATTTTTATCTAGCTGAGTCTATCACCAGGCTCTTGAGGTTTTGCATTTTATGTCCTTCTTACAAAACCCTATTCTATTGCAAGTCAATGAAAATATTTATGAATGTCAGTATTTCTCAATCTGTTGCCTGTGGTTTTATTCTTTTGTATTTGCTTTTATCTTTTTGCAATGTTTTTGGCATAATGTACGGTATAGGGATCTGTTTTTAGTCTGTAAAACAAGATGTTTGTTTAGTTATTTCAGCACAATATATTGAAGAATTCATCTTTTTTCCTATTGGTTGAAATGTTACCTTTCTCATATGCAAAATTTTAATTTAGTTTGCTTTTTGGATTTACTGATTTGTTTATGCCAATACCAGTATTACATGGTTTTAATTATTTTAGATTCTTAACATTTTAATGTGATATAACTTTTTAAACATATTTTTGTAATATTTTTTAAAAATCTGCCTTACAGCGTGAAATAACTAAGAAGTTGGGCAACCCCAAGCAGCCTACAAATCCTTTCCTGGAAATGATCAAATTTCTTTTGGAGAGGATAGCACCTGTGCACATAGATACTGAATCTATCAGGTATTTGTATATAAAAATATTAAAGTTTCATTACTACTCACTTATGCTTCAGTCAGTCGTTTTTAAATACCTGACATACACAAGACACTTATCTGTATAGATATTTGTATATGTATAATGGCTACACATTCGTCTATATATGTTCACATATATGTAATGTATGTAAATATATGTGTACTTGTCTGTATATATCTGTGTATACTTAATTTTTCTTGTTCATTTGGGTGAGAAAAATTTCAATTTAAGCCTAGTTTCTATCTGTTAGCAGTGTACCAGGAATTCCTCTTTTTAGTTAGCTTGCGTAATGTAAGTAAGACAAACAATTTGTAATTATACCTTCAGGGGAAGAAAATTAGGTGAATATATTGTAAAGCAGCATATGGTGCATTTTCACAGGTATTTGAAAACAAAAATGTTATTTTTAAAACAATCATCATTTCAGCTTTGATATCACCTGACTTTGACATCTTGGAAAATACTTTTCCTTTTATGACTATATTCCCTTATGTAAAATGTTCTTTTTTTTTTTTTTTTTTAACAATTTTCCAAACTATTTCAACTGGTCAAAAAAAATAAAGTGCTTACTGAATATATATATATATGTTATATATATTTATAACATTCTGATTTATTGGTTATCAGTATCTTTTAGAGATATATTAGATTCTAAATTAAATAATATCCTGTACCCAGTGAACCCTTTTTGGGGATTTCTTTTGTTTGGTAAGATGGAGGGTGTAAGCTTTTGGCCTTTGTTCCCCTGCAGCATAGGGGGACCCTGGTTTGGATACCCAGTAGTCACTTTGGATTCCTATTGCATCAGTTTTCATTTGAAGAAAGGGTTCTCTGGTTTGAAATATAAATATAAAACAAAAATCAGAACCCTCTGTATTAGTACAAGGAAGACAATCAGATGGAAACTCATTTATTAAATAAATAATCCCATGCTTTTTCTATTTAAGACAATGTAGTTAGCTATTGGCAAAGCATACTTTTTTTGCTTTTCTTTAATAACCCTCTGTCTGGTAATGGAATAAAGAGTTTTAATCAGGAGATCATATTATAGTTTCATACAGTTAATGCAAATAGTATTCAGAGGGCTGAAAGGATTTCTCTAAAGGAGTAGTATTTGACCTAAGAGGAAGAATGTTTTTACAGATTGGGAGAATGAATATTGTAGGCATGAGAGTGATATAAACCAGGTAAACTGGGTAGGAAAGGACAGGATATTTAGAAAATGATTGCCATCTATTTAAACTGTAGTACAGACAGGTGTAAAAGTGTTATGAGATAATGCTAAAAAAAAAGTAGTTGGGATCAAATTGTAAAGTATTTAAGGTCGAACTTTAGAGCTTTTACTGTATTCTTTAGTCTGTAGAGAACCGTGGATGATTAATGATGGACAGGAAGAGGGAAGTAGAATGGATAGATTGTAAAGGTGTTACATGTTTTCTGTGGATCCTGGTAGTGGGATAGAAAGGAAAGATTATATTTGAGGAAGGTTTTACTAGAATGGGTCATCTTACTGGAAATGGGGAATAAAGTTGATGAGAAGCCAGAAGTATAAGAGCTCAGATCCAAATGATGAAGCACACAGTAATATTTTGAAAAGAATAAAGGTAGCTAATGTGCTTCTTATTTGGACATGACAAACAATTTAAAAATCAAGGCAAATTGAGCTTAATGTGAAACTGAGAATTGATTTGTTCCCTGAGCATGAGATTGTCTAGAAGAAAAAAGATGAAAAGATCAGGGACAGACCTTGGAATCTTGTTTTTCAACAATAGAAAAATTATAAGAGTATAAGAACACCAGTTTACTGTAGTGTTTTGAAAGTTAAGATGGAGAAAGTTTTCACAAATAAAATATAGTATGGATAGTCAAACTGAGGACCAAAACAGGTCTTTGTCTTTATCAGTCAGTAGTTTGTATAACAATAACAAGTAGCAGCAGTTAGTCCATGTAAAGTGCCTGGGATGATTCTATATGTTTTACTTATTGATTTCTTAACCATGTGAAACAAATACTATTATTCCCCCTTTACCAGTAAGAAACAGTGACTTAAACAGATGCTGAGTATCCTCTCCATTGCTAGGAAGAGGTGAATGGCATTAAAACCCAAGAAGTCTGGCTCCAGAGCACTCTTCGTTAACCACCACACTATCTAATAGGTCTCTAGAAGGATTCCACATTTCGTTCCTACCAGCAGGCCGTGAGGGTCCAGTGCACCTAATTCTTCCTGATAGTGGCCATTAACCTTTGCAGTCCTTGACATTTCCTAAGTAAATGGTGATACTCTGTTTTTTAAAAACAATGTGTCACTAATAAAGTTGAACATTTTTTTTTGCATGTATTTCTTAGTTACTTTTTTAAAAAACTTCTAAGAGGGGTTTGGAGAATTGTTTTTTTCTTATTGATTGTAAGAATGCTCTATAAAATGAAGCTATTAACCTAGTTTGCCTTTTAAATTTGTGTAATTTACAATAAATACATAATTAAATCTGTTTCCTTTATGATTTTTGTTTTTTCCACTTAAATCTTTAGGTGGTCTGGAATTCATTTTAGTGTAAAGTAGAAGTAGATATCCATCATTTTTTTAAAAAAATAATAGCTAGTTGTATCAACTCCATTTATTGAAAAATTCTTTCCTTCCCAGTTGATTTGTTATGTTTTCATATTTTCATATTATAGCATAAATTCTTGTATGCTTTGGACTCATTGAATTTTCACTTGATTCCTTTGTCTTTTGAGGTGTTAATGAAACATTTTTATCTTGTTGAGAAAGTTCTTTCATTTTCCCCCGCCTACCTAAAATTAGTTGGCTGTTCCCAGATGGTTTTTTTTTTTTTTTTTTTTTTTTCAGTTGCTCCATAGAATGCATCTACTGAATCTTGTCCCATGCCAAGTTGTGGTCCCCTGGTACAATTAGAGATTTAGTGAAAAATGCCATTATTTGTCTGGCATATTCTACATTATTTGTCTGGCATGTTCATATCTCTATGCTCCCCTTCAAATAATCTTAGAGTTTATGCACAGATTCTGTGCATGTAAAACTTACTTTATATGTTTTAACTTATCAGTGTGAGTAGATTTTTCTCCTCTCTGTTTTTTTTTTTTTAGGTGACTTTGGCTGATATAGAAAAGCCCTACTGATTTTTTTGTGTGCTTTGTTAGTTTCACCTCACTGAACTCCTAATATTTTTTTAATAGTTTTTCAGTTGATTCTCTTTGGTTTTTCCAGGTTGATACTTTTTCTCACAGATTTTTATATGACTGACTCTTGTTTTTTTGTTACTCAGTTGTCTCTCTTTAGACATGCCCTTCCTGACTACCCTGGCTCAAGAACTTCACTTCTTTTCTTTGCTTTCTTTCTAGTCATTGTTGTTCCCTGATTATATTTTCTGTGTGTTTGTTTACTTATTTTTGGCCTTCCCTTAGTAGACTGAGAGCTTCATTCATGCTTTTTGTCATGGAAGAAAATAGTAAGTTTAATTTTGGATATGTGGTATTTTTCATTCTGTGGGACATCTGAGTTAAAAACCTTGGAGCTGCTAAAAACACAAGAGAATTGAAGTTGAAGGTTTTTATTTGGGATAGTTGGAGCTATGAGAATAGATTAATCAAGAAAAATGAGCAGAAAAGGAGAGAAAACATTCTCAAAGATGTCAGCTGCTAAGGATGATAAATTTAATAGGAACTTGCAAGAGAGACAGATACATTTTATTCTTAGCTTGATCTGACATTTGAATTCATGAAATTTTTGTAGAAACATGGAGCTGCTAAACATTTTAAGGAACATTGAATAGTTGAATTTTCCTGCATTTTAATATATATACTATGTCTCTAACCTTAATGTGTGCTACTTGTTTTTTTATAAAAAGGATACCTAAAAGTGTGAATGATTATTTTAGATAATTGGTATTGTATTTTAAATGTTTATTTTAAAATAATATAAGCTTGTTTTAAGAAGAAACTTTCAAAGTCTTTTGTTTCCTTTTTCATCTATTCTAATTTCTAGTGAAGTTCTATTATATGTCTGTTATCCAGGTATTTTTACACCTTTCAGGAATAGGCCTGTATGTTTCTACCTCTTTTAATAGTGCCTGGCACATAGTAGTATTTGGCAAATATTTTGAAAGTGCTTGATGTTGCCATTTATCCTTTATTTCACTATTTGTTCTATGTACTTGAGCAGCATTAATTTTCAGATAATTAAAAAAAATCTATTCATGTTTTGGGGCATAGATTTTCCATGGAAAATTCAGGAATGAAAGTAGTGGTAGGATTAATAAATAGCAAATCAAATACCATTTGGACTTCATTTGAATGGACAAGGGAAAATACTGTTTTTGAAAAGAAGTACCTTAAAATACCTGTTATAATTTCTTGTTTTGCAGTAATGTTTGGGAAATAGCTTTGTTAAATTTTTATGTGTTTGGATATGGTCTATATAGAAAATATAAAGGATTATTTTTATTAGACATTACTACTAAAGAATAGTTGAAAATATGACAATTTTTTTTGTCATGCTTTAGTGCTCTTATTAAGCAAGTGAATAAATCAATAGATGGAACAGCAGATGATGAAGATGAGGGTGTTCCAACTGATCAAGCCATCAGGGCAGGTCTTGAACTGCTTAAGGTAAATATGCTTGTGGTGAAATTAAGTGCCTAATTAGATAACTATTTAACATATATAGTATATATTTTTTTTATTCTTGAGATTTGCTTCTTAAATTATAGAACCTAAAGTAAAATTTTCTCAATCATTTTAGGTAATGTAGAAAATGTACATTGCTGGGGCTCCTGGGTGGCTCAGTTGGTTAAGCATGATTGATCCCCGAGTTGGGCTCTCTGCTCAGTGGGGAGACCGCTCTTTGCTCTCTCTCTGCCCCTTCTGCCTGGTTGTGCTCACTCTTGTGCTCTCTCTCTCAAATAAAATCTTAAAAAAAGAAAATGTACATTTCTTCTAACACATAAGCTAAATATTTTCAGATTTAAAGTGTATAATAGGGCCTAGTATTATTATATTAAAATAGCAGATTATAATTTGAAGTTTTTATTAGTGAGCAAAGAAGGTGTTAGCCCTACCAAACATGGAGCCAAATTCTTCCTAAAACTCCGTTTTATCTTTTATTTTGTTAGCTAAAATATACTATCACCTTTTACTTATTACAAAAATATCAGTTAATTGTTGACAACTTAGTATAAAATACAAATTAGAAAAAAGAAAATATTCATAAGTCTATTTTGTTATCCTCTAATTTTGAAAAAAAAATCACACTTTACATAGTTGAGATCAGACTGAATATATATAATTTTGTATCTTGACTATTTTCCCTTATTAAATTATAAGCATTTTTATTAGTGTTCTTTAAGACCATATGTTTAAAAGTGTCAAAAAATAGATCTGATTGATGTTTTTGGGCAAGTTTATTGCTTCCACTTCCTCATCTGTAATGGAGATAATAGCACTTACCTAACAGAGGACTAAATTAAGTCATGTACATAAGTTTCCTAGCACAGTGTCTGACTCATAGTAAAAATATAAAAAACATTACTTTTTGAAATGGTGATTAGTCTACTTTTGTGATACCTTGGTGTTCTATTTCCCTGGAGAGTTAGATTTTTCTAATTTTGTTCGTGTAATCACTACAACAATAAGTGTATCTAAGATCTCTTGCTAATGGTAATGTCTTTTTAAAAAAATACTGGAATGTAAAGAGGATGATCATTTTCAAAATTTTTGGATATTTAGTCAAATTCCTTTACAGAAAAACTATACCTGTATATAATTCTGTCAGTAGTGAGTGAAGGTGCCTATCCTATCTTCACAAATATGGAATATTGTAAATTTTAAAGAGATTTGTGATCTCTAACCTGATAAGTAAAAATAATGTTTTAATTTTTATAATTACTGCAGTGAGGTATAAATTCCATATGTTAATCATTAGCATTTTCCCTTTGGTGAACTCATTATTTTTATTCTGTGTTCATTTTCTAATGACATCTCAATTTTTTGTCTTTTTTCTGTACTTTTTAACTGAGTTTAAGTGAGTTTATTTTCTTTGCTTTTTTATAAGACATACTTGATATATAAAAAATAAAGTGTATTCTGTTATATAGAAGTTATAGAGTATAGTAAGGGAATACAGTGAAAAGTAAATAGGATGCTAACTCAAAGTATTAACAATACTGTGAAGTTCCCTGAGTAGTTTTTTCCTTGATTCACATCCCCTAGGTATAATTGTTCTGAATTTGGAGTTTATTTATCCTCTTACTGTTCTTTTAGTTTTATCATCTGTGTCTATCTATGTATTTCTAAATAACATCACTTTATTTTTGAATCTTACAAATACGGCATTATGCTTAATGTATTTTTCTATGCTTGTCTTTACATTGGATGTTTGATTCTAGCTGTTTATTTTAAGCTTAAAAATACTGTCTTGTTCAGAAGATTTTTGTTTTTGTGTTTTAACTGAAATATAACCCATCTGAAATGTATTTTGAAAGTATATACTGTGGGAGGATATATATAGGAGGATCTAATTGTATTTTCTCTAAATAGCTACATATTTTTATCAGGAGTATTTATTAAAAATGCCATCCATTTTCATTTTCTGTTTCTTCTTTATAATCTATTATACTCTATATAGTCTAAATTCTTATATGTGCTAGGACTAAAAAACTTTACTTTCTCTGTTTTGTTTCTTCTGATGTTAGTACCAGGTTGATTTGATAATTGTCACATTATGGTAGCTTTTTGATCTGTTGTTTTACCCTCTCCTCTAGATAACTTTTTAAAAAATGTTATTAGCTAGTCTCTTCTAATGACCTTTATTTAGGAGAATAGAGCTAATTTATTAAATTCTGTCTTCTTGTTGCTTTTCTCCTATTCTCATCCTCCTCCCAAAAAAAACCCAAACATTAACCAAATTAAATTAATTTTGGGTAACATTATTTTTACATGTAATTTACGTTTGAAAGAAATGACTTCATCAGATCATGTGGTCTTCCAACACTAACTAGAACCTATCTGTTACATATTTGAGTAAGTTTAGAACTTTATTTATAGTGCTCTCGTGTACTTGTTAGCATAATTATTTTTGTATTTACTTTGATTTGAATATTTCCAGTATGTAATATTTTAGATTTATATTATAAAGATGGAAAGGGTTTACAGATCATTTTTATGACTTTTTTTTTTAAGGTACTCTCATTTACACATCCCATCTCGTTTCATTCTGCTGAAACATTTGAATCTCTTCTGGCTTGTCTGAAAATGGATGATGAAAAAGTAGCAGAAGCTGCACTCCAAATTTTTAAAAACACAGGAAGCAAAATTGAAGAGGATTTCCCACACATCAGATCGTAAGTTTATTCTGATAAATATTCTGGAAAATAGAAAAATAATTTACTGCTTCTTGATTTATGTAATAGTTGGAATCTTTTAAGTTTTGAGGAAATCATGTCTAGGTTATCTTAAATTTATACCATTCAATTTAGATTCTTATTTCCTGGGGGATAGCACAGATTGGCATTTTAGAAGATGCACAAAACTGTGGAGCAAACATGGCATTTCTTTTTAATTGCCTAAATATTCTAATGAAAACAATTTTATAGTGAAACATTCTCTTGATATATCATGCATAGAATAAACAGTTCACATGAATTTAAGGTGTAGTGGGAAATTTCAAAGGAATTTCAACTGGGCTCTGCAGAGGACTCTTCACTATTCTCTGTCATTAGAGGTATTGAATTGAAGATTTTAAGAAACTGTGCTTTGTCTCAGGGAAGCTTGGAATAAACCTCCTAACAGCAGTGTATTTGTGTGTGTGTTTCAGTATTTCCAAGAATTGGAAATTGTGCTGTTACCCTTGGGATCTCTAATGCTGATTGATTATTCAAGATTCTAGATAGAATAGCTCAAAACAAGAAGTCTTTTCTATGGATCCCTGCTTTACTTCTCTATATTCACCTCCCCTCCCTATTCCTGTAGAATGTATCTGATAGTTGGTCCTCATCTTGCTATGGTCATTGGTGATTAGTTTTACTTGTATCTCATTATTTCTGGCTTAGCCACTGGTCTAGTTAGTTGTGATTAGGGAGCATGCTTCATGTTGAAGAATTGCCTATGGTCCTTTTCCTCAGAGAGAGACTGGACAAAGATAGCTCTTAAAATCTCAGGTATACTTTTTGTTACTCCTTTTGTTCAGATGAACTTAATTCTAGTAACTATTAATAAACAGGACAAAGGCATTATTTAAATGATCGTTGAAACATACCAGAAGTTCTTAATCATATTCTCTTTGACAAGAGTAAGAAACTTGATTAGAACTGAACTGACTTCTTGGAGCAGTTGTGTGGCTCCGTTGGTTAAGTGCCTGCCTTTGGCTCAGGTCATGATCCCAGGGTCCTAGATTGAGCCCCGTGTCTGGCTCCCTGTCAGTGGGGAGCTTGCTTCTCTCTCTCCCTTTGCTCTTCCCCTGCTCATGTTCTCTTTCTATCAAATAAATTTATAAAAATCTTCAAAAGGAAAAAAAAATGACTCCTTAATTTTTAAGTGGATGCAGAGCATGAATTTTCTTTTGAATGTACTGTGATTCTTCAGATCAGAGATCAAAGTTTGGAGATCAACACAAACAAAGCAGAACTATATTACTGATTGAATGCCCACTTCCTGTACTATCTCCTTTAAACCTTGTAACAGTTTAGTAAAGTGTAGAAATTATCCAAATCTTCCAAATGAGAAATGTGATACTCACTTGAGGTAAATGGGTTTGGATCATATAACTAGCAAGTAGCAAAGTGAAGATTTGAATTTAGGCCTGTTTGTCTGAATGCCTGTGGTACCGTATCTATAATGGCACAATTCCTTTCATATTTCAGGGTTTGGGGCAAGTTTTAATTTGATTTATTCACTGGAGGTTTTTATTTTTATTCTAGACTGTCTTTCCTAGTATCTTTTATATCTTAAGGAAATATTGTTAGATATATTTATAGGAGAATTACAAGAGCAAGGTTAAAAGGTGGACATTTTAGAACATGAGGGCATTTTAAAACATGCTGCTTTAATATAGAATTGAAGTACTTAAAATTATTTGATTTATACAGTGAGTATATTTCACATGTTTCTTATGAGGAAAATTAACTGATAATGAATACCTGCTGTGTGCACGCACTATTCTTGATGAAGTGGCTCATAGTTTATGTCTTCCAGGAGATAAAATATGTATGCAGATTATTTTTTAAGTTATTAAAATGGGTGAGTCGATTTTGAGGAAAAATGATAGAGTGTTTATTGTGTTTCCTTGAATTCACCAAAATAATTTTGAAGAACCAAAAGAAAAATGTATCTAAGTAGAAGCTGCCACAAACTGGACAGAATTGGTGCTAAATAAGTCATCTAGACTGAATTGAATGTGAGAACATTGACACTTAATACACATCTTCCTGACTCGGGTATAACAGAATGGATAGTAAGTGTTCTGTTATTTAGAGGAGATTGAGGTATGGGCAGGCTTTCAGAGATATAAGGAAAGCCTAATTTCTGCTGTCATAGAACTAAAGGAGAGACTTCGTGGTCACACCATTTTTCTTTGGGCTGACCTATTTTCCTTAGGAGAGGAGCAAAGCTTAGAGTTGACGTAAGGCTTAAAGTAGAATTGTGAAGCAAATGTCTTACCAACTTTATAGGTACAGAAAAAAAATTGTGTGCTTAAACCTACTAAAAAAAAAATGATCGGTATGCTGTGGTTTCTATTCTGACTCTTGTCTTTCAGGAGTCTGGATCACCCCTAGACTTAGTTTGAATGTGCCAAAACTAAGAATCCTCTTATAGCATAGGATATAGCCGTAGTCCAGGCAGAGTTAATTCTCATCACTGGTAGGGTTTCAGTAGATTTGGAGAGAAATTACACAGAGATAAAGGACTTGCTGCCGTTAGTCCCAGCTCCTTCCTCTATGCTACTTTTACTTAGCCAACTGATTGAGTTGAGAGCTGTGATGTTAATTTTTTAAGAGAGGCATCCAGGATTCAGTCATCAGGGAAATGCTATCTGTCTTTTTGTTTAAATGGCAAAGCCAGAGAATTTCTCCTATTCAAAAATGAGTTAACAGAGTACAAATAAATTAAAATGTGAAACTAAGTAGGTGTTTTAGTATTCCAATGAAAGCTGATAATCTTTATTTGGAAGAATTGAATTTTTCTAGTAAAAAAAATGTTTAAATATTCTAAACTGCCAAGGAAGTTAAGCAGAAATGATACCTGGAAAAATAAGAGAACAACAAGAAAAAACAACAAAAAATACAAAAAAGGAAGTGGAAGGAGTAAGGATAAAGAAGAACGAACATGTTTGTATTATAAAGTATAGTTTATTATAAGCAGAGTAAGGAGCAGAGTAAACAATATTGAAAATGTAGCTGTAATAGAGCATGACGAAATTGCATAGAATGTAGAAATAGTGGGCATAGAAATGAAGGCAATGAAAGAAAATCATTTGCAGATAGTGAAAAGCCCTAATTGGCTTCTGTGGAGAAAACAACAGAATAATGGAGAATGGAAAATAGTGTTTAAAAAAAATGATAATAGTAAAGTTGTTTTAGAATGAATAAAAATGTCAATCTGGAGATTAAGAGGACCCATTTTAGGAAAATATTCTGGAGGAATTTACTGAATTTTCAGGGATTACAGAAGTGATTTCACAAACATCAGTAGCAAAAGGAAATGTATTATGTGCAATGGAAAAAAGAGGTTCACTTCTTTCAACAACGTAAGATTTCTGAAGTTAATGATTCAACAGCTGGAGAGTTTTCATGGGAAAAAAGAATATAACTGAAGAATTTCCCGAGTAGCCAAATTGTGCTTAAGGACAAATGAACATTCTTTAGGACGTAAAGACTCGGGAAAGTATTAGTTACCCCTTTTATATTGTGAACTCTGTCTACCAAGTTATGTACTTTATCCCTTTACATTCAGTTTTTCTTAGGCCCCTAAATCCAACTTTTGTTTTCTTTTTGTTTGCTTATCTGAGTTGTCTTTTCTCATCATTTTACTTCAAGTATTTAAATTTTAGGTGTGTCTATATTTTAAATATTTGAAAACTTGGATTTTTTTTAAAAAGGGTGATGTAAATAAAATTGACTCAAGAAGAATGGGAGAAAACCTAATTAGGCTGTAATTATAAAAAATTGAAACAGGTATCAACTAATAAAAAGTGCCAGTAAAAGTGTGTGTTATATTATAGGAAATATTTCACATCTACAAGAAGCCAAGGATTTTGATTCTTTTTAGATGTTTAAAGCATAGACGGAAGAAAAAGCATTCAGATTACTTCTTTCATAAAGCCAGGATAGCAGGAGTGTTAAAAGTGGATAACAGATATTCCCTCAAAAGAAAAGACAGATCTTACTAATATTGCTGTAAAAATTGTAAGTAAAACTAAAGTAAGAAAAGAGTTTTACTATAGTAAAACAAAAATATAATATGGTTGAGGTACCTGGGTGGCTCAGTTGGTTGAGTCTGATTTAGGTCTTAGGTCCCTGGGATTGAGCCCTGTGTCCAGCCTCATGTAGGGCTCCACATTCAGCTGGGAATCTGCTTCTTCCTCCCCCTCTGCCCTTCCTTCCCCCTTACCAATGCTCTCTCTCACAAATACATAAATCATTTTTTTTTAATCTTAAAAAGTAGGGCACCTGGATGGCTGGCTCATTTGGGTAAGTGGCTGCCTTCAGCTTAGGTTATGATCCAGTGAGTCCCACACTGAACTCCTTCCTCAGTGGGGTGTTTGCTCTCCCTCTGCCCCTCCCACTGGCTTGTGTTTGTTTCTCTCTTCTCTCTCTAAAATAAATGAATAAAATCTTTAAAAAAATGTTACATGTTATGGTCAAATGTGGTTATTTCAGAAAAACAAGGAGGGTTGGTATTAGTAAGCCTAATCCTGTTAGTTTACTATATAGTTGAGTAAAGGGAAAAGGACACACATTGTGATAGATGCTAAAAAGGGCTTCTGATAAAAAAAAGTCTATTTATAATTAAACCTGTTAAATTGGGATAAATGCCTTTATAACATAATTTGTCTCAAACCAATAGGCATCATCATAGAGTAAACACTAGAAGTATTCCCAGTTAAAGTAGGAACAAAATGTGGAAAATACACTATCTCTGCTATGGTTTAACATTGCTTTAGAAGCATTAGCCAATATAATTATGTAAGAAAATAAAACGAGATACAAGTTTTGGAAAGGAGGAAGCAAAATTACCGTATGTAATGGAAAATCCAAGAGAATCTACTGAAAAATTACCAAAACCAAGATAGCCAAACTATGTAAAAATCCAGAGCTTTCCTTATATGTTACTAATAACCATTCTG